TGGTTTACTTCTTTGGCAATGAGACATTTTTACCAGTCGCTCTGAGACATTTCAAATGCACCAAACATGTATAACACTGTATAATTTTTCACATTAAATTAATTTATATTTTGGATGAAATTCAGGTGATCTCAGCACAAGAGAGGGGGGGGGGGGGAAGAGATGCTCTGCTCTGCATATTGTGTATGTCTCCCTTATTTAACACACCTGATTCAGAGCTCAGCTCGTTAGGACAGCCGTAGAGTCTATCTTAACGAGCTGAGGATCTGAATCAGGTGTGTTAAGTAAGGGATACACAATATGCAGAGCAGTGGGTCGCGAGGACTGGAGTTGAGAACCCCTGATATAGACATTAAAAAGTAATAAAAGCAAAAACACACAAAAAAAGTGTTTTTATTCCCCATAGAGGTTATGAATATCATATATCATCCTGCTTGCACGTATACTCTTTTCTAAGAGTATCTTCCTGCATACTCTTATCTAACAGTAACTCATTTTCTCCTGCTAAAAATACCCTTTATTCACATATGGCTCTTCCCCCAGATTCCTCAGACTTGCCCCAGCATCCCAACGGCCTCTCAGCCTCATGCTCTCACTCATTCACACACTCTCACCCCTCTCTGCTCTTTATTTTTAACCCAGTCAATCAGACACTGCTCACCGATGACGCAGATCCATATGCAGCTCTGACACCATCAGCCAGAGAGAGAGAGAGAGAGAGAGAGAGAGAAAGAGAGAAGGAGGCTGGCAAAATGGGGACAAGCTGTGGCAAAGAGAGGAGATGGAGGGAGAGTGCTCGATAGTGATCAAGGATAAAAATCATCAAAAATGCATCAGATAAGTGACAAAGTTGTCAAAGAGTGTACTGTTAAAATATTTAACATCTAAACTTACTAGTTTTATTCATAATATGACCTAATTACCTAATATATTCGGAAGACATCATTACAGACGTCTTTTTTTAAGAGTCAGATCAGGTAGAAACTGAGTAATCTTTTTTTTAACAGTGTATCAATGATAAATATGCAGTTTTGTAGGTGTCCTCACTCTCTACACTATATCTCTTTGTCACTTTCTCTCTAACTCTATCTCACTGATAGGTTCACACCCACTCGTTTGTTAAACATTGAGACAAATAGCTTACATCACTCTCGGCGGAAAGACTTTTTAGGAAGTTCCATAAAAAGAACCGCTTCTCCCCCGGCTAACTCACAACACAGCCGTGACGCAAGAAAGAGACCCACTGTGGCGCACACACACAAACACACACGCATGAGGTTCAGAAAGAGAGATGAAACGGCAAAGGACATGTCTGTAGATTTTCTCTGTGTGTGTGTGTGTTTAAATGGAATACAGAAAACCCTTTAGTCAAAGAGGATATTGGGTTTTGGAAGGAAAACGAATGTGCTAATCTGATTAAACTGATGATAAATGTGATTTTAAATTACTGAAGAATCAGGTATAATGGTTTCTTTGCACACTGTATGTGTGTGTCGATGCGAAGCTATGGTGTTGTTGACGTCATCTTGACGTATTTGCCCACACTTGCCAGTAGCAAGCTGGAAAAGTAGAGAAAATGTGTGAAACAAGAAAAAGAGGACTGACAAAGCTTAAGCTTCTTTGATGATCTTATTGTTAGTACCTTCTTGTGGTGGCCGTGTGGTACTACAAGAGTGAGATTCAATTAACTTAGCATCCCACTGAGCTGTGTGATAACTAGCTTTCTTGTAAATCATTCCAGCCTCTGTCCCGTATCATCCTCTAACTGCTCTTCATTACCTCTCAGAGTGTGAGGAGGGAAAAAGCGTGAGAGAAAGGCTACTCACACACTTAGGATGTGGAGTTACTAGATTTCCCAAGGTGCCTGGTGTGTGTGTGTGTGTGTGTGTGTGTGTGTGGATGTTTGCGTAAGTAGACTTTGGGGCGACTGACGTCAATGAAAGGGCTGGATTTTGTGTGGAGCTGAGGTGAATCTTAATTGTGTTTGTGTATTTGTTTCGGCCGTGTGGGAAATGTCAGTTTCAAATAAATTATTAATTCATTCAGGAAGGTTTAGAATTACATATGCATGTGCATGGAGAGATTGGTCAGATGTTGTACAAACCCACAAGCATTCTGTTCATGATGACAGAAGCCTATATCTGTCTTATTTTTGTCTGATCATTCCATTTTAGATGCTATTAAATTTCATTCCAATCCAAAGAACAGGCAGACAAAACAAACGCTGTTTCTTTTTCAGGACACATAAAGCACATGCTCCAAAAATGTTGATAGTAATCAACTTGGGACGGCTGACTCAGAATCTTCATTTTAAAAGAGTAATCCAAGTATTGTAAAAGAGTAATCCAAGTATCCGAGTAATCCAAGTATATCCAAGTAATCCCACTATTGCTGTATTTAAACCATTTAAAGGGTCATATCATGTTTTGTTTTTTTTAATTATTTTTTTATGTAATGTAGTTTTTATGACCATATTCTTAAAGGGGTCATATAATGGCATTTTTTACAACTTAATATGAATGTTTAGGGTCTAAATAAAAACTTTGTAGTATGCTTTTATTAAAAAATTCTCATTAGTATTTTAAGAAAACAATAATATTACCCGGTCAAAATCAGCTCTGTTTTCAGCGTGCCGTTTCGGTGCATATGCCTTTAAATGATAATGAGCTTCGCTCACCCTGCCCCTGTTCAGCAGCGTTTTGACGATTTGATCAATTAAGGCTCGAACTAACACGGTCTTTTGACCATACGTCAACATCCGCCTTTTTAGGGTACCCTTAAACGTCAGTAACATGACGATCCCGGGCCGTCATACAAATGACGCTTTACCTTCAACGTCGGTTAGGTGACGGGGTAGGTTGAATACTTGGTTAACGTAATGTCTCTTTGATCTATTTTTGTAAGCACTGGCAGGGTAGAGTAGCGAGATACGAACGCTGTCTTTACTGAAGTATATGTTAGTTCTTTGACAGATTGACGTTACAACTAATGGTCATGAAAAACCTTTTTTTTTGTGATTTGCAAAGATTAATATAAAGGTTAATAAAACTTTACACTTACTTCCTATGGAGGTGCAGAGTAATGTAAATAGTTGGTACAGATTCTTTTTTCAGGAGCAGCTTCTTAGCAAAATGAAGATATTTTTGGTTAAATTTGAGAGGTGGATCACTCCTCCATAGGCTCCCTAAGGGATTGAAACTTGATGGCCCAGAAAGTCATTGAAGAAAATGTTTAAATATTCCATGTGACTACAGTGGCTTTTTGTGCGGAAAAACAAACAAAAGTAATGACTTAATTGTGTACGGGCACACATTTTAGTACAATCAACTTGTGAAAGTGCATGTACCATTATATGACCCCTTTAAATTTAATTAAAATGTATTTTTGCTGTAACTCTTTGTAATATTTCTCTAAAAAAGATTAATTAAATAAATCAAATAAAAGGTTACATTTGAATATGCACTTCACTATTTTACAGCAGGTGAAAAAGAGATTGTGAAATCAATAATAGTATGTCTGAATTCACAGTACTCATAAAAACATTAGTGAAAAGTTACTATTTTCCATGAGATTTTGAAGTGCAAATTTATGAGAGAGGATCTGTGAATGGCGACGCAACTGACACTGAAGGTCACTTGACAACATGAAAAATGTTGTATGTCCAGATTGCATTCAGACTACATACATTCATACTGTGAATGCACAGTAGTAGTTTAACAGTAGCAAACTAATTACTTCAAATAAAGATGCAATTTTGGATGGAGTCAGAGTTTCCTGAAGGCCAACTCCTGAAGGCACTGCATCATCTTGAATCTATGATCTCATTCTTGATCTCATCTTGATTCTCAATCTCCTGAATCTGTCCCTGTATGAATGACTCTTATGATTCTGTTCTTTTAGCATGTTACAGGATATTCATGTGACAAAACTTTTGCATATATAGGCTACTGTAAAAAGTAGGGATGCACGATATATCAGCTACCATATCGGTATCGGCTGGTCATTTTCAATGTTGTTATTATCGATCCGATAAGAAAATTTGGCCAAAATATATTAAAGCCGATAAACAAAGGATAATTTCCTTCAGCTGAAACACTTCACTGTTCGCCATGACGCTTTTGAACGACTTGAAATATGATTGAAATCACTTCAAAAATTGCAATATGTGCAGCTCAAGTCTGTCATATAGGCTATATAAAACTATGAGAACATTTTAATTGTGTGTGGGAACTTTTGCTTTTGTAATCAGGCTCTCAAAAATTATATAAAAATCTGGATTTAGATTTATCGGCCAAAATATTGGTTATCGGCTTTCAAATATTAAGAATTATCGGTTATTGCTATCAGATACAATTTTCATATTGGTGCATCCCTAGTTAAGTTATTTATAATTTATAAAATTATTCAAAATCTACAACATTTTGACGAAATTTCAGATCATTTATCATCTTTAGATCCACGCCAACTTGAATAATAGTAGAAACTGAACACTAAATCATAAGTCGGTGTTATAATAATGTGCCCCGTTCTTCTGACTCGAGACAGATTTTTTGTTTTGATGTCAGTCATTTTAGTCAGAGTGGAAATGTGATTTGATGTATTGATGGTAAAGGGTGAATGCCTGCATGGACAGAGACAATCAGCAGTGATATCAGGGAACAACAGTTACAGGTGTCACTTTTATTACCGTTCCAAAAAGGATGTGGAGATTTTTACATGGCCTTTAGGTCAAAACACCCCTCCCCCTGCCACCCACCGCCCCGCCCCCAACCCACCCACGTCAATCATCATCCCTGACCCACACGAGTCAGGCATCAGGTAAGGCTCGTTGTGATGGACTGATTTCCTCCGGGGAAAAGTGAATGGAGGATGAGGAAGAGGAGGAAGAGGGAAGAATGAAGAAGATGGGAGAAGACGTGAAGAGTGGAGAGAGAATTAAGAGGGCTCGGAAAGATCTTCTGAAGTCAGCAGCCACATTTTCTATTGTCACTATTTTTTTCTTGCAAAGCCCTCTCTCCTTCTTTCCCTTCCCAGGATGACTCATTCGGGTGGTGCGCTCCTCCTCTCCTTCCTGGCCCTCCCCCCTCCACCTCCTTCATCTCCTCCTCCTCCTCTCTTTCTCTCTCCCCTGTTCCCTCTCTTTCTCGTCCTCCCTAGCCCTCACTTGGTGGCCATAGTGTAACAGCCGTCTGGGTGCCACTGCATGTCACGGATGCGCCTGACGGACTGAAATTGGGGATGACGAGCGCCAAACTCATTAAAGTGACGGTATTCACCCTTCTCCAGGAGGTATTGGCTGCCACGGTAACCAGGATACTGGTAACCCACCCAACTGAAACGAGAGGTGAGAGGAAAGACACCACAAACATAGAGAATAAATGAAAGTGAAGAACAGAATTCAGAATAGAGAAGAGCCCTTTTATCAATTAGCTATATATTGTAAAACCGATCACACTGGAAATGATTTTATTCATATTTTAATTATTTGAAATATTAGAAGTATTAAAGGAGTAGTTCACTTTAAAAAAAAAAAAAAACTTTTGCTGATAATTTACTCCCCCCCCCCCATGTCATCCAAGATATCCATGCCATTCTTTCTTCAGTCGAAAAGAAATGAAGGTTTTTGATGAAAGCATTCCAGGATTTTTCTCCATATAATGGACTTCAATGGGAACCAAACGGTTCAAGGTCCAAAAGACAGTTTCAGTGCAAACTGCAAACTGTTCAAAGGGCTTTAAACGATTTCAGACGACGAATAAGGGTCTTATCAAGTGAAACGCTCATTTAAAAAAAAAAAAAGTTTATGTTTTATAAGCACAATTGGTCGTCTTGCTCTGTTAGGGTTAGGGTTAGGGTGTGATACGCGTTCGTGACTCTCCTGTTCGAACTCGTTGATCAAAATTAACTAATCTTTTTTTCGTGTCATTTGGTTCATTCAACGAACAAAATGAACGAGTTGACTCGGTAAAAGATTTGTTCATTTTGATGAACGAGTTTGAATAGGAGAGTCACAAATGTTTATCTTTATGTTTGTTTATCTAGGTGGCATAACTATAAAGCTGATTTGTGTAATGCAAGGCCAAAGTAATGACTGTTGTCAAACAGGTTTCCGGAAAGCCTGCTATTACAAACAGATATTCCTGGCAAAACAATCTCATGGCCGTTCGTTTATTACTTTTTTTTGGTAAACTAATGGTTAATACGTATGATCTGCTTACGCCCCAGTGACAGTTATGTTTAGTGGTGGGCTTTTAAAATCATACGTTTTTCTGTGGTGTTGGGTTGGTCCCACCAACATTTTTTTTTATTTTTTATAGTGCCATATTTTATAAACTTTTTAAGTGCTAGGTGAAAGTGTTATAACATAAATAAAAAAAATACAATCATCAAGCGTAGCTTCAGTTCTGTTTTTCTTTAAATCTTGAATTGAAGAGATGCAAAAGCCTCTAAGTGCCATTTGAAATTTTCTTCTAGAATGATAATTTTTATCAAGCTTGTATATTTAAGTTCAGTGATTTCACTTAAATGGCAATGATAATTACCTATTAATTGTTATTTAAGTGAAATGACTGAACTTAAATATACAAGTTTGATAAAAATCATCATTAAAGAAGAAAATTTCAATTGGCATTTAGAGGCTTTTGCATCTGAACTCTTCAATTAATGATATCTGCAAATATTCATGTTGGTTCTGTTGTGTTTACCCTAAGGGGGGTTATTGCTGCTCTCCCTAGGCTGCATGGATGCCCAGGAAGTTCTCACCCAGAACAGAAACATACCACTAATCCTAACTGTATCCTAATTGTCTATCATATTTGAAGATAGTGGTCCCAACAGAATTCTGCTTTAAACTCAGTGGATTTAGGAAGTGAGTGTATGACTTAAAGATCACAGACTTCAAATTTCTCTTACCAGATCTATTTTTTATCAGGTCTGCTTGACCTCAGATTTCTTTGATAGGAGAACACTTACGTGCCACAGCTGACCATGATGCTGCCAACGCGGTCGGTGAAGCCGAAGGTGTACATACTGGGCACATCGTCATCCATAATCTCCATTTTACGGCCCTTGAACTCACCGACTTCAAACAGACAGATCTTATGCTTTTCTGGGTCCTGTGAGGAGAACAAACAAGGAGTTTGAGGTGAAATATTTATTAATAGATAAGTATGGATTCAAAAGAAAAATATTTTTAGGTTTTATGAATATAGTGAGCGATACAGGACATGAAAAGTGGGAAGAGATTAGGAAATGTTGGGAGCCAGATTCAAACTTGCGTTCCCCGCAAAAGCAAGTGCCATTGCTCAGTGTGTCAGTGAATACATCAATGAATATGGATTTAAATATTGTTGGCCTTTTTGACACTTTTATGGATTCAGAGTGTGTGAGATAATTGGAAATGATTGGAGAAAAGTGTGATGGAACTTGGAAATGTTGGGAGCCAGATTCAAGATTCAAAGTTGCAATGCCTGCAAAAGCACCATGACTCAGTGTGGCAGCGAATACACCCATGAATATGGATTTTAAAAATAATTGTTTCTTTTTCAGGTTAACTTTAGCCTTTTTGGACAGGAACAGAATAAGGATGGGATTCAAACTTTCATTGCCCAAATGGCTTAATGAAACAAACTGAATTGACGATTTTGCAAAAATCAGCTAAATGAAAACATTCATACACATGTATAATGAATATAAGGGATGAATACCATTCTGATAGGTCTGAAGGACAGCAGGTAGTCATTCCTGTGGCAGTTGCTCCAGCAGTCCCAACGGGGGTACTCACCCTTCTCCAAGATGTACATCTCTCCGCAGAAGTTCATCTGTTCCCAACCCACCCAACTAAAGAAAAGAAAGAAGGACGGAGAGAATGGAGGAAGAGTTGAAATACAGACCAATCGGTAAGTCACTCATATGTATCACAGAAACACTCACGGGCCACACTCCACGCGGAGGGAACGCACTCTATCCATGCCCATTTCACACACGTTCATGCACTCGTTGGAGATCTCGATCATGCGGCCCTGGAAGTTCTCCTGATCAAACACAAACATCTGAACGGGAACAAAGAGAAGAGACAGCTAGGTCATTTTTGGTTGTTATGCAAAGAGAGATTTAATTTAAGTTGAAAAACTTCAACTTAAATTAAATAAATTAAAGTTGAAGTTTTTAGTTTAGCTTAGCTTAAAATAATGCATACTGTATATACAACACCCACATCTATTTCTATGGAAACTGAATTTTGCTCAGCTGTTTCCATCATTCATGTTTGCAATTCCATCAGTCTTCACATGCAACCTTAATGCATCTGTAAATATGGTATGGTACATACCTTGTAATTTCCCACACCCATCTCGGTTCTCTTTTGAGTCTGAGCAGCCTTTCCATCAGGCTGGGAGGCGGGCTTGGACTTCTCTCCACCAGTGGACATGATGACTACGATAAGAGAGCATATGTATGAGTGGAGGAATGTGAATAATTTGCAGCCTCCTTGCTGGAAATATCTATTGTTGGACATATAGTGATGTCAAGTGCTAAATATTGCTCAAAGCAATTAACAAATCACATTCGAACACATTTATAACCCCTGGATCAATTCTTCACCCACTCATTTTGAAACACTTTCACAAAAGTGTAATAGATGTGTAATGCTCATACGTAACATAATTTGCCTGTGCTTACTAATTTAGAAATATATGACAAAATGCTGTAATATCAAGCTGAATATTAAAACTGAAACATGGAATAAGACTTCTAATGTATCTGATGAAATATTAACTGATATAATTCTATAAAAAAGAAATTAAATTAACATGGCCCCATATTTTCACAAGGCTTTTTACATAAACCTGTTTAATTAAATCAACAGCCACCCAAGTAAGTAATAAATGGTAACTGAATATATAATTTAGTATAATTTGGTAGTGCTTTTTTAATAAACTACTTTTTAATTAATTTCACATTTTCTATCTCTCTCCCATTCTTTCATATTCACAACGACCGTTTTTTTTTCTTGTCTATATCAATTTTTTTCTGTTATGACTAAACACTTACAGTTCACCCTGACAATGTATAAAGTACGTTTTAATTGCTTTCTACCGGTGACTAATGTGTCAAAGCTGTTCGAGATATTCTTAATTAAGCTGGAGTTGACTTCAACCAAATGAAATGTGGGAATGCCTTTCTCTAGGTTTGTTTTTTCTCACAGACCCCAGTCTCTTACCTGTGTGTTAGTCAGTAGCCGCTGTCTGTCTCAATCAGTGTGTCAGTGTGTGTATTGAAAGCAAACGTGTCCCTTTTATAGGCTGGCGCCTAGCATGGGGGGATTAGGCCCACAGAAACAAACTCGCTGAGCTCACCAACCCACACACAGAAAAGAATCACCCCATCATCAAACACAGAGAGAGAGAAAGAGAGAGAGAGATAGACATAGATGAAGACAGACAGAAAGAGAAGATAGGAGTACTATAATTCTTTCTCAAACTCAAGGTGAGCTTCCACAGTTAAAAAAAAAACAACTTCTTGTGTCAGTGTGTCCAGTTCTGAAACTTTACAAAGTGACTACAAAATTAAGCTGTTGGACTTGGACACCTTCACAGGACAAATTCTAGACTGTGAAATGACGTAGGCCTACATAAAACCTGATGAAAGTAAACCAAAGTAAAAATAACATTTGATGGTGATGAACACCATAGCCAAACTCTCACACACCAAAGGTTTATTTGGCATATATTCCACTCTTTTACGTTGGATAATGCTATGATATTTTTCATAAAAGACTAATTCATTTGGTGCCAGAGGTTCAAGGTTTTGTCTCGTTTGTAAACTGCATTAGCCTTTAGCCACAGTACACTTACAGTAGGCTATGTTATGTTATGTTATCAATGTTAGGGAACACCAGAGCCAAACCTTCAGGCACCAAATTGAAGACTTGGCGAATTTCCAAACATTTACTGAATTTATTCTTCATATCTTCAGATATTTTTGATGCCAAGTATTTGTCTCAAGTACATTAACATGCTTATGCAGTCCATATGTTGTGTTAAAGCTCTGGCAACCGTGCAGATAACTGTGATTTTTTTAAACATTTTTTTTAGTAGGCTAATTTGCCTGTAAAACTGCTCCAATTAAAATGGAAGTTTTATGGTTTAGTGGTACTGTTACCCTAATAATTGCAGCTTTAAAGCTTGTTACAAAAATCCTATGTAGAATAATGTACATACTTTTATATGCAGCCACAAAATGTGAATTATGCTAAATTATGCAGCACTGTGTGAGTGAGGTCCATAATGCCGGCTGTTTCACTTAGCCTACTGTTTTTTAACTGCATTATAATTTGCATATATTCAGTAAATATTAAGCTATTACCATATCACATATCGCCAAAACACTAATGTGGGTCATATAAGGAGACAGTCATGAGCAGGCATAATGTTACACTTGTTCACATGTTACACAGTCTGGATAAAGACATTTTGATGAATTTAGAAACTTGATTATAAAGGGAAAATATCTGTCTGAATTACAGAAACGTCCTATCTTCATTTTTACTTAAGCTTTGAAAAAGTTCCATTTCTTAAACAAAATTACTACTAAATTACTTTGCCTATTATTATTATTTTTAGCCTACTAAACATATTGAATAGGATTGATGTCTTATACAGAATATAGAAAAAGAAAATAAATTCCAAAACTTCTGAAGATTAAGCCGTTGTGACCTTAAGACAGAAGCCAAACAGAAATATTTCTGGGAGGTTTGAAAGAGAGGACAACCACCCATGCAGTTGGTCAAATCCCTGTATTCTCCACCTATAGACCGCTCATTGTGTACCATACGATGCACAGTGCTGACCAGGAATACTGCCGCTTGGGCTCCATTGTGCGGTTCAATGAGAACGGGCTCTTCAATGTGTCTGCATTCACGCGCACCACGGGCGCGCGCGCTCACTCACTCACGGCTTCATCAAATCCAATGCGCTGACGGCGCGAAATGTTCCACTACCCTGGACTCAAAATAAAAAGAATGATCTCATAAACACACCCAAACACACACACACACACACACACGCACACACACACTCCCTAACTGGTCCTTCCATCAGTTTCAGAGTCGCTGCGACGTGCACCCTGTGATGGTCGCTATAAAATAGAAGCGCCAAATAATCATAAAACTTCTTGCCAAACGGGACTGACGAGCATCACTGTAAAGTAGGACAGGTGGAGATTCAGGTAAGAAAAATCTAGAGTAATAGATGGAATCCGTGTTTTATGTAGGGCTAATTTAAGAGGGAAAATTAGCTATTAAACTAATAGCTATTATTAGAAAGTGCCAAGTCAAACTTGGTCAGCTTGAATGTTGTGTTTGAATTGCTATTAAATAGCATATTGCCAACATCAAATAAGTTGTCATTTGATGTTTCTTTATACATGCCTGCACAATGTAGGCTACACATACAGTATAGGCCTATAAGTTCCACTAAGAAAAGGGCACAAAGCAGAAAACAATAATCCAAGCAAACACACTAGCCTATACTATTGCAATATTACATGCAATATATTATTTAAGTAATACGCTTTATTTACTCTGCAATCCAAGTAATGTTTTCAATGGACAAGTTCGTGCTAAAATGTAACATGTAAAAAATAGAAGTAGAAAAAAAGTAGAAAATGTAGCCTTCTCTTTCACAGAACTCAAATTAGTTTTTTTCACTGGTTATTCTTCTGAATGATTACATTCCCTTTTCTTTTCTGGGAACTGCTGAGTATAGTAACGTTAGCAATATATTGCCACTTTGTCACTGCAAAAAGTTTGCACAAAAGTGATACAAGAGAGATGAAATCCTTATCAGAATCAAGTGAGAGCTATAATGTATCAATGTAAATTATACATAAATATTATAAAAAATTATAAATACTTGGAATCAATAGGGATCCATTAGCTGTCCATAAATTGTCTAAAATGCACAAATGCATGTTATTCACACAATATGTAACAACTGTGCATGTCCCAAAGTTTGTTGTATAGTAAAATACATCTGCAGAAGTTTTCAGCCTTCCCTTTTGTGCAGGAAAGAAGATGAACAAAGTAACTAAGATCCAAACAAACCCATCAATGGCTGGGATAGACATGGCCCCTTGCTTTAAGGTAAAAAGAAACCTTTCCACACTTTCTCTAATGTAAGAAGCACAATGAAAGAATGAGTAACAAACTATTGATTCTTTGTCTGAGAGTGAGAAACAAGGCGCCAAGCCATCAATGATTCAGCAAAGGCAGCTTCTGCTTAGGTATTGATTTTCAGACTGCATAGATGAAGACTTTCTGAATGGTTGATTCTGCTGCTGCTTCTTGTCCAAGATGTGTAGAATTCATTATTGCACAACAGGACATAATGAAAGTAGTGGAGGCCTGTGGTTTTGTATTTAGGAGATTTCCATTACACAAGAGTAGATGTTTAAAATTCATGCTGATTTGTACTCAGCTTTCGCCAAGATAAGCACAAAATTAGATGTAGCTTTACAGTAAACTATGCTTCTCCATCCATTTACGCTTCTTTCCATATGCTGATGCAAATCTCCTTCTGTCCGGCATTAACGGCTGCAGTGTACTTGGCACGTCAGCACACACAACGGCTGCAACTACAGTGTGGTCTCCCCATTGGACCAGCACCACAACTGTCTGGATTGAGCCGAGTAGGGGACATCACTAGGGTCTTCAAGTGGGCCCCTTCTGTCCTCAGTGTTTCGTCGACTAGCCCACAACACCTCAAGAGGGCTCGACAGTGACTCTGGCATCCCAGAGTCACCCCCCTCCGTCCCCCACTCAACTCAGCCCAGCTTACTGACCTCTACATCCCTCCTGCTGCTAAGGTTGCTCCTTCCTCATAGTTCACATGTGACCTAACCACGATCTCACAATCTCTCCACAACGTGCCAACCTAAGTCTGTCGAGCTCCACTTTCTTTGTTAAAGTAGGTTCAGTGGCAACGGTTCCATATGCCATAGTACCTACCGCAAAACACAATATCTGCCCAAACATCAACCCTCATTCACGTAATATACTGTACACAGGAACGTAATAACTGTAATTACTATGCAAACTATACAAATGAACCTACAGACTCTTCTATTTTTTCAAGAATTCTACGAAACCGTAGTGTGGCGGCCTGTACACAGCCAGCCAGAATATTTCCGTCTCAACCACAGCCAGTTGCTGCTCCTCTCTGCTGCTTCAGATAAGTTCTTTACTGTGCGACGCCACTAAATCCGACGTCTTTGAGGAACCGGGTTAGACTGGGAAAACCCAGACAACTTCTGGCAAATTTAGATTTGCTCTGAAAGTTAGTCTGGCAAAGAGCTCATTCAAGCCCATTTCCAATCCTTCGAAATCGTGGCACCAATCAGAAACGTTGGGGCAGGGTTTACAAGATGACGACAGCGCTGGGATTTTGAAGCAGATTTTGTAGCCTACATTACAAAGATAGATGCCGCCGTCGAGCATTACTCGTTCGAATCTGTTTTAAGTGATTTGAATGTTTCCTTTTTGTTAAAAACTGAGCAAAGAACAACACTCGGAAATGTTTTTCCGCTGGCCGCCACTCTGCATACATCTCCTTCATCGCTCTGATTGGATTTAGGTCTACCCGCGGCGTCCGTTGGTGACGCCCCTCTGGAAATGATTTGTCTATGATGCTTTTCAAGACCATAACTCTGTTACAACTGAGAATGGTCTGGTTTTAACCAGGCTAGAACCGGGTTGTAGAGTGTGCCACAAATCCTCGACAACCCATTTCCACTGGATAAACCTGGACTCTCCATCCTCGCTGTTCTGATTCAGTGGCCAGATGAGCATACCGCAGTTTCTTCCTTTCATATGCCTCATCTACCGCATCCTCCCATGGCACTGTTAACTCTATCAGTTGACCAATGCATGCTGATCCAGACCAAAAAACAATATCCGGTCATAGGCTTGTGGTGGCAATCTCAGGTGGAAAAATAAGCTGTTGATCAAGATCCAGCATCTTCCAGTCCCTAGCAGCTTCCAGTAGTCCTGGGCAAGAATTGGTTTTAACAACTTTTCTTGGTGGTTGCTCACTTGGGTGGAGGAATATTGTCTTCTGTGTGTAATGTTTTGCAGGCGGCAACTTATTGGTCATACTAAGCTTGCCTTCCAATGCTAAAGCCGAACATTGCAGTACTTGGTCATGGCACCAAGTAAACTGACCTTGGCTAAGAGCCACCGTACATCCTGTCAAAATGTGCCTTAATGTGGCAGGTGATGAATACAAAGGACAAGGGGGATCCTCTCCTACCTAGAGGTTTAGGTTCTGCGGTGATGGGAGAACATCATATGTTGACCTGATAAGGAAACTGGTCCTACTCTCTTCCATTGACCTTGTCAGCCCATCTTGCGTTGTTCCTCTCTCTTCCATCTCATCCACTCTCCTTGCTTGGCCTGGGAAATGGCCTTTATACACCTCATCCTCTCCTCCTGCTTTCGCACCTTGTTGACTACCAGCTTCCTCCTTTGAGTTGGGCCCTGTGCCATTTAGGAGGAGCTAAACAGAGCTCAAAACCCCCTCTTCCATGCTGTACCTGTCCCACGATATCCCCAATTTGAAGGGCAGCCTTTGCCTCTACCACAGATTTCTTTGCTGACCAGTTTCTACCAGTTTTTAACACAGGGGCTGCCTCCCTTACACATTTGTTGCGTGACTCTACTAAGGTCATTTCCAGTCTGGCCTTGGCACACTTAAACTCCTCGGTTAAAGCAGAGACTGGCAGCTGCAATATTCCTTTACTATAAGGTCCCACTCTGCTGAGGCAGCGTGGAACTCCCATCCATTTCCTAATGTATGAACTTATTAATGCTTCCAGCTTATCCAGTGTTGTCAAAGAAACCTCATACACAGTCAGTGGCCACAGCAACCTCGGCAATAGACCAAAAAGCACCAGAGTTTTAGTTTGCCTGGAGAGAGAGAGTTTTTTCCAAATTAGATGGAACTGTGGCATGTGCATGTGTGTTTGTCAGGTGACCGTGTTCGAGCAGGAGCATTTCCAAGGCAAGTGTCAGGAACTCACCTCAGAGTGCCGAAACATCCAGGAGCGTGGGTTTGACAACATCCGCTCTATCCGTGTGGAGAACGGCGCGTGAGTCGCCCACTCTGTGTTAATGATTGCAAAATCTTGCCAGTTAGTAAGGAAATTACACTTTTAGATGTGTTTGCAACCTTATAAGTGTTTCATCCTGAGATGATTTGTAAAATGTGATGATGATTTGGGAAATAATCAAATATGCGAATTACTGAGCTGCCAAATTTCAAGATTACTTGTGTAGTTTCAGGCATTTCTTTGTTATGCTTCCTTTAGGAGAATAATTTACTTAACTTAATACAAGTTAAAGGCTAGTTAAAGCTAAATACCTTAAATTTATCTTTTAATGAAAACAAAACATCATATATTCTTCCAAACCGATTGTAAGTACCCTATACACTACCAGTCAAAAGTTTAGAATAGTTAGAATATGTATTTTTATATATGGTATTGTATCATTGTTTCTACAAAATAAATAAATAAATTAAATTAACTAGCAAAAACGGTTTTCAACATTGACAATAATAATAAATGTTTCTTGAGCAGCGAATCAGCATATTAGAATAATTTCTGAGGGATCATGTGACACTGAAGACTGGAGTAATGATGCTGAAAATTCATCTTTGCCATCACAGGAATAAATAACATTTTAAAATACATTAAAATACTAAACAGTATTACGTAGTAATAATATTTTACTATATTACAGTTTTGTGTTTTTAATCAAATAAAAGCAGAAGAGCTAATAATTAAGCTTAAAAATATCTTAATTATTCCAAACTTTTGACCAGTAGTGTAAATGCTTTAATTCTCTTTAATTCTGTGCAGCTGGGTGGGATACGAGCACCATGACTTCCAGGGGCAGCAGTTTGTCCTGGAAAAAGGAGAATATCCTCATTGGGATGCCTACAGCGGCAGTCTGGGCTACCATGTGGAAAGGATGATGTCCCTGCGCCCCATATGCAGCGCTGTGAGTGTGTGAGCGCATACTGATGCCTTCAACTTTTATTCTCAAACTTTTCTAAGCAATTTGACTGAGTTTTGCCTGACTGACAATAAAACGAAAAAATAAAATCTCATAGGCTCAAAATGAAAGACAGAGCTGAGCCGACTTTCTTGGATAAGCAACCACGTAGCAACAGGCAAAAAACCTTAGCAACTGCAAATCAAAATCAGAACACGTTTGAAACCGTATATGAACTCTGCAGGACAGTGTCCCTCTAGGACTGAGCTTGGTTGGACACCCCTGTTTTAGATGGCTTGACTTCATTCAAACAAACAGGTGTCTCTCATCAAAACCATCTCTTTAAAGCTTTCCCCCCCATTTCCTTCCAATCTCTCTCTCCATTTGTAGGCCCACCAGAGCAGTCGCATGGTCATCTATGAGAAGGACAACTTCCTGGGCCGCAATGTAGAGCTGTGTGACGATTACCCGTCTCTGCAGGCCATGGGCTGGTGCGACAAGCAAGTGGGCTCCATGCATGTGCAGTGTGGCGCGTGAGTAACACTCAACAAAACACCATTAGTGCCAAACTACTGTTCTCCTGAACATTTCTCATGCTCAACAGCTGCGCTGACAATACACATACACACAGACGAGACCAGCGTCATTGGCTCACATTCCATAGAATCCAGTCCTTGTACTTGTGAAGTGTTAATGATTTTCTTTCTCTCAAAACATACCGTCAGATGAGAGATCACAGAGCTCATGCATCACAGCAATACATTATCTGTGACCACCTCATATGTTATGTAATGATGTTATAACTGCCTTTCAGTGCACATCATCACAGAAACTGATCATTTAAAGCTGCAGTAGGCAACTTTTGTAAACATTTTTTTTACTTATTTGTTAAAACTGTTATTATGTCCTGACAGTAGACTTTGAGACAGATAATCTGTGAAAAAATCAAGCTCGTCTGGCTCCTCCCAGTGGTCCAATTGCCATTTGCAGAAATACACCGCTCCCGGTCAGAAACAACCAATCAGAGCCAGGAGGAGTGTCTTAGCAGCATCAATCACGCTCGTGTACACGCTGATCACACCCCTCTCTTGCACAGCGCGCCGTCATTCAAACCAAACTCAAGATTGCCAGTGTGCTGCAGCTGTGCTAATGGCGGAGAAACTCTAAAATTGAACTTAGAGAGAGTTTTGATAAACATTATGCACTATGTTGTATATTCATTGTATTTCGACTTAAAGGGATAGTTCACCCAAAAATGATCCCATGAATTTACATACCTTCAAGCCATCCTAGGTGTACATGACTTTCTTCATTCAGCCAAACACAATCAGAGTTACGTTTAAAAATATCCTGGCTCTTCCAAGCTTTATAATGGGAGTGAATAGTAACAATAGCCCAAAAAAGCACATCCATCCATTATAAAAGTAATCCTTACGGCTCCAGGGGGTTAATAAAGGCCGTCTGTAGCAAAGCAATGCGTTTTTGTGAGAAAAATATGAATATTTATAAACTTTATAAATGTTATCAATGGCATCCAGTAACGGTCATATGGAAGAGTGGAAGAGTGACCTCTGACCCGATGCGGGACATATTGACGAATGTGGAAGTGCAGAGGATAGAGCAAACCAAAACACAGAAGGCCCCAATTAATCTATATCAAAAATGGAATTGAATCACCAAATTTGTGTCAATGCCCAGCTCTAATATTAAAATTCTAATGCACATTATAATCCATGAAGAATTTGATTCAAGATAATCTTCTTCTATTAAAACACTTTTTAAACATTCCCTCTCCAAACAGCTTGTCATATTTTATGCAGCCAGTCGCTGCATCTCATTTCCTTGCTTAATATTTTTTTTTTTTTACCTCTCCATCTGTTTCACATCCTCCATTTCCCTGCAGCTTTGTGTGTTACGAGTACCCTGGCTATCGAGGACAGCAGTACGTTATGGAGTGTGACAAGCACAGCGGAGACTACCAGCACTGGAAGGACTGGGGCTCCCACTGCCAGACCCCTCAGATCCAGTCCATCCGCAGAATCCAACAGTAATGCCTGATGGGAAAAACGGAAGAAAAGTGTGCAGACAGAGTGAGGAAGCAGAGGAGTCGCGTCAATCATTCTAGCAGCAGTCACTTTATGAGGTGCAGTGTGAAAAATTGTAAAACCTTCACTGGTTGCACGTGGTTTCCACTTGTGGTGCTCTAGTACTACACAAAAAAATTCTAATGACACGCATTTACAGACACACATCAATGCTCTTTTATGAACTCATATTTGTAAGTGCACAGAAGCTCAAGATGTATATCTTTACATGCAAATATGTCATGCTGTGTGACGTTGGACATTTGGAGGATGACGGTTGACTAATAAATGCATACTCACCTCAAACTAGCATATTTGGTCGTTTTGTCTGTTTGCGTGTAAACTGATGGCATGTAAGTGGCCACTTACCAACGGTAAATTATTAACTGTCCTCTGTACAAATTTTTTTTTAAAATCAGGTAAAAATTACAGATTATATTATATAGTCTTGTATGTTACAGTATCGTAACAACTGACATGAAATACAATTTTTTTAAGTTTCAATATTTCCATTTTTTTAAATAATATTGCATACTACGAATATAATTATTCCATATATAATATCTAGTAAATGCTTTAGAAATATATCAAGGCTTATGCTGGGGTGACTATCACATGCAAAATATAAATGCAGATTCCGCTTTACTGGAATCATGTGGAAATTTATTTTTTAATGTATTTAATAACTGTTTTAATAAAGACAGAAGGTATATCATTTTGTAGCATTTTAAATTCTAATTAGTCTTGACAAACCAATGAATTCATTAAAAAAAAAAGAAAAAAAAAGAAGAACAATCCTCCAATGGTCTAGATCTGCAGGTTTAAAATTATTGATGAATATATATGATGTAATGATGAAATATCTGTTGTGTGTTCCTGTCAGGTGCATTAAAAACAATGACCACTAGTACAAAGTTAGCACATTTAGTGCTAATGTGTTTTTAAAGGGTTTTTCATATTTTTGCTTTCAGAACATCGGTACATCCAATACAAATGAAAAAGAAACATACCGAAATACTGTACACTAAATTGTTTTATTATATAATTTTGAATCATATTTATATTATAGCACATCATAGCTTGCTTAAAAACATTATAACGCAGCATTTTAAATCTTATAGATCATCTGTCATGTTTATTACAATATTTAAAATTGATTTTATAACATCATAGATGAAAATTAAAATGAAATGTAACACTTTTTTGCGAGAGAGCTATTTGGTTCTTCGGTTACAATGAGGAAAACAGCCATCAAGTGGATGAAGTAAATCGGAATTAGAATGAAATACACCACTCGAGCGCATCACCTTGACCAAGTTCAAAATGGAGGCTATCCATTTCTATGGCAACAAACCACCTAACCTTACAAGGTATCATCAATTTCCTCTTTTCACTTCCCATTTCAATGAAATGCTTGTTTCTCTTCTACTTTTCTTCATTTTTTACTGTGGACAACTTTCTGACCTTCTCATTTTTTCATCGGTGGCCCACACGTTTTCTATCCAAAGAAAAGAAGTCGGATTTAATAAAAAAAAGTCAGTAAACGTTTCCAATACCATTGCTTCTCTTTCTGGCTATTCAGTATTTTACAACTTCCTCTCATCTTTCACCTCTCCTTTTCTAGTCCCTCGTGTGTTGGACATAGTCCTCTCTCTCTCCGGCCTGCTCGTACGCAGGATTGTCTTGTCTCCTCCTAACCCCGCTCCTCTCTGGTCCCGGTGAACCCTGGGAATCGCCGTCTGTATTGTTGTCCTCCTTAACCAACATTCTCTCATCCTCTTCTTTCTCATCATCGTCAGCATCACTCAGGTCCGTGTCTGATTCATCAGAATTTTCTTCCTCAATGTATCGGTAGCCTTTGACCTTTGAGGAACGGGATAGTAATGCAAGATATTAGCAAGGAAAGTGATATGGAAGTATAATAATGATAAAAGCAGAAGTTTATCCACCTGTAACAGTAGTCAACACTGTAAAAAAATAGGCTCATGATTTGTAATCACAACATTATTTCTTTAGTCAAATCAACTTAAATCATTTATGTTGTTCAGATAACATAATATTTTAAGTTTCTGATGATTAAATCAATTACTTTCACTGTCTTCAACTCAATTTTTCCAGTTCAATGAACTTAAATTTTTAAGGCAGCCAGGTTCCTTCATTTTTTAAGTTAAACCAACAATCTTTTTTTTTTTTTTACAGTGTATAAGAACAGTTTATTTTTGTACAAAAATACAACATAGTAAGTGCATTTTTTATTTATTTTTTTGGTTTACAAATTGAGGATAGCATTTACAGAAAAAAATCAACTTCTAATAATAATGTGTACAATATTTTTTTTTTCTTTTAATAAACTCTAAGTCTCCCACAGATTTGTAAAGGTCCCAATGAAATCAAAATGGGCATTTTTTTTTTTTTTTTTATCCATGGAATTTATTCATTTTTTATTCATGTGCACCTGTAATATTTAATCAAAAACTTTAACCTCCCCTTCCTCTCGAAACAGCATCTGTTCTTTTCATTTTGCGTGTGACTAATAACCTCCACATCTGACTGTAAACTTGCATTCTGATCTGACTCCATTTAGGTAGCAACACCCAATTTCATATGAACCAAAACATTACAAACTTGAAATCAAGACCCGCCAAGCATGTATTTTTTTTCATTTCAGAAGCCATTTCACTCAAATATATGTCATAATCGGAAAGACAATACTATCATCGTGCCGACTTCAATAGCTGAATTACCTTGTGTCGTGGGCGCGGAATCCGTGGCAACCTAAACTGGATTTTCTTCGCCAGGCGACGCTCCATCTGCACGTAGCATAAAGATGCCACGATCAGAGCAAACAACAGGAGTCCGAGCTTGGCCTTGGAAAGGGACCAGAGAAAACGAGCAGCTGAATTAATCTTTATCTTAAACATTGATTTTTAATTCTGATTTAATATGTAAACAAAAAATCTTCTCATATTAAGGTGCAGTAACATAATGAATTTTGTGGACAAAATCCAGTGATTTTAGTAGGAATATGTGCGATCAGGAGTTACGCGTGAAAGCGAAATTCCCCACAGAGATTTCGCTCATGTTCAAGTTGGTCATGCGAATATTAGGGCTGTCAAACGATTAATCTCGATTAATCACATCCAAAATAAAAGTTTGTGTTTACATAATATATGTGGGTGCACTGTATATAATTATTTTGTGTATATATATATATATATATATATATATATATATATATAAATACACACACATGCATGTATATTTTGGAAAAAAATTATTATTTATATATAAAATATTTATATTTATATATAATATAAATTATATTTAAATCTATATACAGTAAATACATGAAAATATTTCTTAAATATATACAAGCATGTGTGCGTATTTATATATATATATACAATAATTATACACAGTGCACCCACATATATTATGGTAACACAAACTTTTATTTTGGATGCGATAAATCACGATCGTTTGACAGCCCTAGCGAATATTGGTTTGAAAGTAGCTTCTGCTTGAGCTGTGCTGCATACATTTTTAATAGACTTTTTTGCCCATAAAATATAGCTAAAGTGACCGCACAAATAGGACTCCAGACTGTGACTAAAATGACCACCAAAATGTTAAAAAAGTTTGACAATTGTTTCATCAAAAATCATCTTATTAGAGTGCATGCCAGTCGTGTATGGAATAACACAGCCTGAAGTCCGATTCACAAACTTAAATCTATTATCTATTGTCAATGGTGTGAGATGTACGAACAACTGACACAGAAATCACTTTCAAACAAAGCAGCTTTCTGTTTTTCAGCGTTGTGAATTAGTATGACTGACTGAACCCGATGTGCATATCTGCAAGATCTTTCACCATCACACAATTCCCGATCATGTTGATTACTATTGAAAAGACTAAACAATATTAAACAGCAGTAGATAAGTGACTACGCCTTCAGTCGAACACTTTCGGAAACAGAATGGCTTTGAACTTGAATCAAACTCAGTGAATCATTCAGAATCAAGTTGTTACTGAGTTTACAACTGACTTCGTCACTTAACCACTAAGTTACCTTCATCAATCTCATTCGAAATGAACAGGGAAATGTAATGTGACAATGTGTAATTAAGGTGAATTATGTGACTTATGACAGTATTCTTTATTTTTTTAAACAAGCAGAAGTATTTAATCACAGAGTGATATTTATATAGCACAAAAACAACTTAGATCTCAAAAGTAACACCATTAATTTGGAACTAATTTATACTAAATACACTGAAATACAACTAAATCCCTTCTGAACAGCCACCTTCATCAAGCGATTCTTGATAATTAATAAATTAAACGAGTCATATTTGCACCCTTATTTTTGTTTGACTGGCATCCCGTAACAGCAAATGCAAAGTATGCAATCAAAACCTAAAGAAATAAAGGCCTTACTCGCATAGGCAATGCAGACCAAAGGTAGACGATGAAAATGGCAATGGCCTGACACCAGTGGTAGATGGTGTAGACAAAGTCTAGTCGCTCCTTGTCTTCATACAGCATCCCCAGCAAAACTACACACAACAATGTAATGTTAACTGTAATATCATTGATGTGATTGCTATAACCTCTCCCAGAATCAGTCTAGATGGCTATTTCCTGTATTTTTTTCTACATCCTGTATGTTTTGAATGTATAAATGCCATTTGTACTCACTGCTCAGTCCAGTCTTGTTGAAAGCAGTGCCCAGACCCCAGAGGGCAGCGAGCACCAAAAGATACGGAAGATAGCTTGGTGTTTTGGGTTGGGGCGACCAGCACATAAGGGTTATGATTAGCACAAAGTGCACAAAAGCTCCCGACAGAAGAATAACCGGCCTGGGAAAGCGCAGCAGCATCAGGGCCAGCCCCGAACAGATTGATGCTGACAAACCATACACCATAACCAACAACCACAGCTTCTCCATCCCGACCGAACACACTCCATATGACTAGAGAACAAGAGGGATAAAAAACAGAGAAAATCTGTTTTAGGTTATGAGTGATTGTGCGCTGTTACTTTAATAGCATAATTAACCTGAATACCAGATAAATTGGTTTACTTGCTTTTCATAGTTGCTTAAATGGTTAATCCAAAAATTAAAATTATTTTTTTTTAAACTCACCCTCATGTCGTCAAATTAAGATATTTTTAAAGGGACACTCCATTGTTTTAAAGGGATTTCCATTGTTAGAAACCCAGTTATACTATTGAATGGTCATGCAGCACACTCTCATTTTCCCCTGAGACGAGAGAAATCTGCTATTTACCTTTTTCACTTCCTCCTACAATGACGTAAAAATCGGCATTTTCGTCATTGTAGGAGGAAGTGTAAGAGGGGGGGATTTCTGTAAAGACTACAAGCACAAGTTCCCACCCTTTCAAACCCATCCATAGGGGGTTGGGCCTAATGCGCTAACAGACCTATCACAGATCAGTGCCAGTGCTTTTGATTTCACCGTCAGAAACTTTTTCGAAAATATGGACGAAGGTATTCAGATTTTAACTGTACATTTGATAAAGTCTATAGTCTATAAGTCTATACACAGTCTATTTTCTCTCACCAGTGTGAGTCCCTGCACGGCGAACAGCACTTCAAAGCCAGAGTAGATGAAGAACGGACAGAGCAGGCGGATCCGGTAGTCACGTAAGTGCTTGAAGGGCAGCTGGAAGATGTTCCCCCAGCCGATGCTGCGAAGGTCAATTTCCTCTGTGGGCCGATATGCAGCTCCGCACAACACCAGGAACTATTTGGGGAACATTGGAAGCACACTGTTAAAAGGGTTCACTCAAAAATGAAAAAGCTTAAAAGTGGAACACTCATGCAAGTCTTCTGAAACCATATGATAACTTTGTGAGAGGAACATACCAAATTATATTTTGCTGATATCAAACAAGGGCAGGATTTTTTAGTTAACTTAATTCAGGGTTATAATAACAATTAAAGTTGAACCAATGAGGTTTGCTCTAGTATGGGACGCATCACACAAACTTCCATGTTTACCGTATGTGATTTGTGTGTATTTATAAGTGAACAAAGGCCTAAATTAAATCTGTTCATCATTTAAAGCGATCATAACTCTTCAAGACTTTGATTAAGTATCTATATTCATTAGGGTTAATTTTATGATGCCTTTATGACCTTTTTGAATATTTTACCTGGACTTTCAATGGAGGGACAAAAAACCTCCCAGGGTTTTTTAATAAAATTATTTTAGTTTGTGCTTTTAAGATTAATCAAACCTTATGGGTTTGGAACAACATAAGTGTGAGGTAAATATCGATTATAATATAGTTAACAAACTACAACCATGAACTTCAACTGAAATAAAATACGTTTTTATATTTTATTTTATTTTAGCTTGTTCATAAGGCAAATTTTCCTAATTAAAATTCTTCAAAACTACATACAAATAATAAATCGGCTCTGTGTGACTGTAATATGGTTATCCCACTGCTCATAAAACATTCAATCCTAAATATATATCCAGTTTAGATGGAAAGGATCTCAAGCTGACTAGCAGACTTACCGTAGCTATATCCATTAATAGACACAGTACTTATTTGAAAATAAATTCCAGCACAGCGCTACAACAACCATAATGAAATTCTGTCACAATAGATAATGTTTTACAGTGAACTCAGTTAGAGAGCTACATATGGGAGTTTACGGTATGTGTTCAGTAAAATACCTTACGCACCTATCGAGTAATAAAAACGCCATTTATGCGTTGCTTTTACAACATTTCAAATCCTTCAGTTCTCGTCATCATCTCCGGAAAGCCAAACTACTGGTGATTTATACTGGTGATTCCCCAGAGGTTGGAGATTTAGCTGCTCCATGTCAACCTTTCTCACTCATTGTGACAACTAACCTATGAAACCGAAGCAGCTTTTCTCTATTCACGGATGTGACATAGACATACACGAACGAGTGATGCAAGTACACAATTTTGTATGAAAAACATCCCGCTTGGTCTAAAATATAAATACTTATAATAGCACTACAAGAGTGAATCAGGGTGAATGTGTATTGAATCATTATTTAAATTTTGTTAATTTAAAAAAAGTTACATATAGAGTATCTTTTATTGAACAATGATCAAATTTCAGTTTGTTCACCCCACAAAGATTTGGAATATAGTGCATGTGTGATATGTACCACTTCTATGATCATTTTATAATTTTTTTGTCATTGACTCATTCACTTTCACTACATGGAAATTTTTCATAAAGAAAAGAAAATCAGTCACACCTTTTTACACTGTCCTTCTTACAGTGTAATTAAACAATTAATAATATTAATTAACAATATGTACTTTAGGGTTAGGGTTTGGTTGGTATTGTAATCATTTGTTGGTAATCATTTGCTGTTACTGTTTTACTATAGTAATAAAGTCAAGTGTTACCAGAGTTACTTGGGGTTAAATAAAAGATTTTCATTTCTAAGGGAAGATATTAATTTTTTATCTATATTTACAACAAACAAAAAAAAGCCCTTAAACTTTGGCTCAATTTGAAATGTCTATGTGAGAGGTCTATCAAGGTCAAACTATTGTTGGCTTTAAACTGTATCTAGTGTTTTACTCACTGATTTAGTCCTTATGTTGGGGGGTACTTAAGATGATGCAGAGAATAAAGACATCATAATGGTGATAATAAAGAAAATAATGGTCTTACAATAAGCATGGCAAGGAAGGCCGCCCCCATGAGCACACTCTCCACCTCGATGAGCAGCAGAGAGCGAGGCAAACTGCGCAAGACTGTCTTATTGAAATTCTCGATCACGCCTTTCCCACTAGCACCTGAGAGAGAGAGAGAGAGAGGATGAGATGAGAAGAGAAAATTAGGGGGCAAAAACAAAAGTGTTGCATTTATAATTTTGTACAGAGTATCTAATAAGACTGCAAATGTTTTAAACTAAAATTTGGTCTGGATGCATAAAGTTTAACAGACTTGGTTCAGGTTTTTGCATGACATGGCAAGTGGGTGACGTCCCACATTTTGCAGTGATGCTGGTGATTTGGCGTGATTGGCCATTTTGCTATTTCAAATATTGGTTTAAAAAAAGCCTTATCGTCATCTCTGCTGAGAGCCAGGAAGAGCCAGACACAGCAGTGCATTGAAGAGCAGATGTGCTGACGCCCTTGGTTTTCAGCAAGTCAGAAGTGTGAAGTTTAATTGCCAAATGACTGATTTTTTTCCCATCAGATCCAACCGACTGTAAATATTCTTGACACGTTTGGTTTTATTTTGCGAGATATGTTCTCATCATCAACACATGGAACTAACACATTGTTTATACAAGATGGTTTTGGTAAGATTTTGAAATTGTTTTCTTTGGTGTTGATTGCATTTGGACACTTTTAGGCCATATTTAACATAAATTTAATTGATGAACAATGCTGACAGAAAATGTCTTTGTTTCCTCAAAAATATTAAATAATAAAATGATTTCTGAAGGGTCATGTGACACTGAATATTGAAAATTCAGCTTTGCCATCACAGGAATAAATTACATTTTAAAACGCATTCAAATAAAAAACAGATCTTTAAAATTGTAACAATATTTCACAATATTAATGTTTTTTTGATCAAATAAATGCAGCCTTGGTGAGCATTAAACTAAAGGCTTCTGTAAAAACCCTTACATAATTGCACCGACAAACTTTTGAATGGCAGTGTATACATAAATAGCATTTGGTATGATAATTTGTTATGTAAATCATACATTTATAAGAATGGCTTATGTGTCGATCCTTTTTGGGGCCACTGCACATGGAGATTGAACTTTTTCTTGGTTTTCAAACAACAGCTGTTTAGGTGAGATATTGTTTTTCCACAGTGTCTAAGTTTTTCTTGTTTTTAAGTTTTGTTGCCCCCTTATAAATATATGTTATATATCTATACCTTATGCTTGGTGTGGAAGTTTTATCGTTTTTTTTATAACTTCCAGAATTATCCAACAAAAGAACATCTTTTTAAGTCTCAAAGTTTCGAAAATCTGGACTACTTTATAAAGTTCTTCTTTTACTGTTCTTATTCTACATGAATCAAGCATGTCAAACCTCCACAAAAGGACATGAGAACTAACACTTTGCAAATGTCATACTTCGCTCCAAAAATGTCAGCGTGTAAAGCTAAAAAGAGGATTTTACCACACTGTGTGACTTTGAAGAGAGTGTGATTGTAATCATTCAGAAAGTTATTGAGGAACAGCACCATGGGGAACTCGGCAAACACGAAACTCAGCTGCAGGGAGAGAGAAGAGAGACAGTGAGTGAACTCTATAAATAACTGCATGTTAATGCACAAACCCACATATGCAGCTGGCATCTGACACACAAACACACACACACGCAGCTGTGAATACACACAAATACGTTAGTTATGATGGCAAAGGGGAGAACACAACTAATCAGATGCTAACTATACTGCTTACAGCCTTTCACACATTTTATGAGTGCCTTTTTTTACTGCTTATCTTAACTTACATGGAAAATAATGTAGAAGACGGACTGGAAAATGATGATGTAAGGATGGAAGGCTCCTTTGGGGGGCTTCTTCTGCTCCTGGACATGTTCGTCCTTATAGTTCACATACTCGTAGTACTGCTGGGCCATTCTGATAAGCACACAGGTGGGAAGTAAGATACAAATATAAGTATAACTGAGTAGTGAGCTTTTGCTTAGACGATGTGAGGAGCTGAGAACTGCCAGCTAAATAATCAGAAAAATAATGACCAGGCTTCCTAAATACTTCCAGTTTATCAACTCACGGATTTGATTGCTTGAGTTGGTGTTGCACTATTGGAAATCAACCTAGAAAAGGCTTACAGTAACTGCTAAAACTAGGATCATTTTTTGTTTTGAAAATATTACACAAAGCTAAGGATTCACCAGTTTTATAATTCTGCCCTATACCAACAAACAAATACCAGTAATTATTGTCACGTTATGGCCAGAAACCGCTAAATATATAAACACAAAATCAACTTAAAGAGATACATTTTAAAAATCTGTAATATTTGTCATTGTAACAATAAAATATGTATCACAACTGCACCTTTGGTTTTGCTTTATTTGGATAAATATTATGCCAAGTGAATTAGCGCAATTTTAAGTAGTAAAATAAATGCTTAAAACATGAAATGATTGGCATATACAGTACCGCTTAAAATTTGGGGTTGGTAAGATTGTTTTTTTTTTTCATGTCTCTTCTGCTCACCAAATTTGTTGGATCAAAAATACAATAAAAATGGTTATAACGCAAAATATTATTACAATCTAAAACAACTGTTTTCTATTTTCATATATTTAATTTAATTTATTCTGTGATGGAAAAGCTGAATTTTCTGAGTTTTCAGTGTCACATGATCCTTCAGAAATCAGTCTAATATGCTAATTTGGAGCTTAAAGGTCCCCTGACATGAAATTGTCACTTTCTGAGGGTTTTTATTATTAATATTAGTTCCCCTAACCTGTATATGGCCCCCAGTGGCTGTGTAAACCAAGCTTTGGCTATCTTTCTCTAGGAATGCGCCGAAACAATTTCGCAAAGTTTTGTGTGGTCCAAACATTTCACCAACGACTGTTTCCTCAACTTGGGCCATTACAGAGCTGGCCTCGATGAACATCTGAAAATAAATCGATCGAGCAACCAAGCATCCATTTCTGATGTGTAGCCTAATTGTTCAAGTTAAGAAGACAGGTAATCTTTCTCTCAAAATCGTTCAGTACTGTTTATGCATAAGTCAAGCCAGTGACTAAACTATCAACTTCACATCATTTCTTTTAGTAGGATGAAAATAATCTTATTTAAATTGTAAACAAATTTTACAGAAAGCGTTCACAGAACAACCTTTCCACACAGCACGACTTCATCTGCACAACTCGTTATGAAATCAATGACGCACGTGACACTGGACAACGAAGCTCTTACTGTACATCATCGACGTGATTGCATTGGTGAAAGCATTAGAGAGCAGAAACTGCGTTACAATGATGAGATCTTAATTTTTGCGATCAACAGGCTGTCATCTGCTCGCTCAGTGCTCATCACAGCAACATTTTATGTGATGAGAATAGATCTAATACTTTAAAAACTTTTCACGATTTGTTAATCTCAATAGCTGTAATAGTAAAAACCTATAATAGCTGTAGTAAAAGAATTTGAGAGAGTTTCACAGAAGCAAGCATGTCAGCCAATCACAGCAGTGGGCGGTTACACTGAATCCCAGAGCAGACACGCCCCCTCAAACAGAACGTTCAAATCAGAGGCTAAAATCAGGCTAGGAAAAATGTCTATGACTATTTTTGATCTAAAAACACACTAACATTATAAGGGAAACCCGGGAAACATTATAAAATAATAAAATAACCGTATGTCAGGGGACATTTCTTAATATTATTATAAATGTTGACATTGTTCTGGTTAATATAGATTTTTTTTTTCAGGATTCTGTGACTAATAAAAAGTTCAAAAGAACAGCATTTATTAGAATTTTGTCCTTTAATAATTTTTTTTTACTGTCACTTTTGATCAATTTAAAGCATCCTTGTGGAGTAAAAGTATTAATTTCTTCCAAAACTAAAATAAGATCTACGCCCTCACCTGGTAATGTAGTTTCCCAAGGATGCCCACAGAGGAACAATGACAACACCAATGGCCACAGCTGAAGGTACAAGAGTGTAGTATCGCTCCCAGTAATTGGTTGAAACAAAAAGAGCATAGATGCCTGAAGCTAGGAACATCATCCATTTAGTCCCCAGAAATCTGAGGAAGAAATAGAGAATAGTGAAATAGTGGCCGTACTCAGTGTTGTGCAAGTTACTTTCAAACTGTAATACATTAGGTATTACTTGTTACTGTTATTTAAAAGTAATTCATTACCTTACAATATTACTGTCCCAGAATTGTAATGCGTTACATTACTCATGTATTACTTTTGAGTTACTTTCACCAAAATAACTAAGTAGAACTTAACTTTTGGGCTGTAACGATATGCAATATGAAACCGAAATCGCGATTCGCCACATCCACGAACCTACAAAATCGCGACACACCTCTTCCAACTCCAGCGTTATTCTCCTTACCGTCCAGATCCAATGCTGCCTTATCCTTAAATTAGGCTATTAGTATTATTTGAAGTTAACATTATAAAATATGTAGACCTACACCACAAAACTAGTTGAGGATAAATTATTTACAAATGGGGAAGTCCAGCATTATGGACATGATGACATTTGCAGTCAAAACTTGAAATAAAAATTCTCAGAAAATTCATGTATTGAAACGTATATAGGCTACTTCCTTAAAGGACTCAGACATTAGACAAATATCAGTCTATGTTTTATTTTTAATATTAGGGAAAAGACACACATTCATGCGTGACAAAAAAATAGGAGGTAAAATATATTTTTTGTAATTCTGTTAATTACACTGCGCAAATCGGATGAGCAAGGGTTGGCTCTCCAGTCTCCATAGAACTTAAAATATTCATTTTATTTTAGTTTTCGTGTTCGCATTTATGAGGAAAAAACAATGTTACAGACGCGACCGCGCTGAACTGAAACTAAAAGACTGCTTTAAAACTTGCACATAGTCTGTTGCCTTTAAGAAGTAAAAGCAGACAATACACTGTAATACAACTGTAATACAAGCCTCACTGAACATGTAACGAGTAAAATATTACTGGAAATTGATTAGTAATGCCTTACACTACTGCGTTACAGCAAAAAGTAATATGTTACAGTAGTGTATTACTTTTGTAATGCGTTACTCCCAACACTGGCCGTACTGAACTGCAGTTATCAAAAGTCATTCTTAGTTTACACCATGGGTGTGAGAAGACCTTTGGGGCCAAAACTGCTCAAGCATTAAGTGGACAGTAAAGAAGTGCTGCTAATAACAGTGTTGGTGGGTGACAAACAAACATCCAAAGAACCAAACTAAATGAGAAAAGCGGAATAATGTAAGTTTGCATGAGCATTACCCAATACCAACAACTAACAACAGTCAGTTTCACAGTATGCTACCTAATGAGCACCGGTGTGTAGAGCAAGCCGACGATAGGCGTAACGTTGATGCCCATCAGCATTTTGTTGTCGATATCCTCCAGCCCTAGGGTGCCATACTTGACCTCTCGGTACGTCTCATCGTAGTGCAGAATTAACTGCATCTGTAGCAGACCTACAGAGCAACAATTTGTATAAAAAACAGGCACAACACTGCCAAATGGCAAGATATTTGTCAGCTGTTCCTCAATTTCACAGTCTCAGACCAAATGAGACATCTTTGAGGCATTAATGCCAATAAACTTGCTAAAAAAGACCAGATGAGTGAAGTGTCACTCAAGTATGCCATCCACAAAGTATGTCATAATCATTGGCACTGCATAGAAGCAGTGCATAATAAAATCCCACTGAGACGTAGAGTCCTACTCAATGTCGTATTTACAGTAGAATCTTTATATAAAACCGTGCACGCAGACTTTAAAGAGGATGAGGTCATCGCTGGACTGAATCATACGCTGGCCTGTGGTGTGTGGTGCGTAAATGGCTGACCCATGTAAACACTGTAGATGATCATTCCTCCGCAACTGGCCCCCACCACATTCTTCACTACACCCAGCCTCTTTCGTCTATAGTACTTGCGCTCCTCTTCCTCCTCATCGTAATCAGGATGTGGGCCGAGAAACTCCTCCACCTGTTAGTAGAGCAAAGGGACACAGAGAAAATTGTCAAAAGTTAAACAAAGAAACGTTTTGATTATTATTTTTTTTTTAATAATTTTGAATATTTGAGATTCTACATTTAAGCATATTTATGACATTGATAAATGTCCATTTTTTGGTTCAACTTTTCAATCAAGTTGTTTTTGCTAATATATAGTACCGTTCAAATGTTTGGGATCAGTAAGATCTTTTTAAAAGAAATTAAAAGTTAAGGATGCATTAAATTGATCAAAAGTGTCATTTATAATGAAACAAATAATTATATTACCAATATATATAAATATATATATTTATTAACTTTTTATTCATTTAAAAATCCCGAAAAAAAAATGATGATGGTTTACACAAAAATATTAATCAGCAGAAATGTTTTCAACATTGAAAATATCCAGCGGCGATCTCGAAATCCCGGGCAGACTCATCACAGAAACTCACTAGTAGCCTAGCCTTGTTGTTTAACTACTGCTCTCTGTTACCGGTAGGCGTGGCCTCCGGGCAGCGAAGCATTCTGGGAGCTGTTGTGTTTCATCCACAAATGCCAAAAAGACATTTTCTCAATCTAGAAAGCTTCACATTCAAAACTAATTTCACATTTCTTCTACATAAATGACCCATTTTAAATACACATTCATCTTTCTAGAGGTGAAGTATCCCTTTAACAGTGAAATAAGATTGCATGATGTCAATAAGATGTATGTAAAAGTGTAGATTGTTATTAGAGCAATGTGGGCTCCCAGCACATTTTCGGTTGGACGGAAAAAAAAAGAGCATTTAGGTTAATTTAACATTGTTAAAAACTACATTACCCAACTTAATTTTTTTTATTATTCATGCTGTTGTCCATCTCTCACTTAACCTTCTTTGCTTTCAATTATGAAATGATGACATTCAAATTATCTTACCTGAACTAACTTTTCAAAATTAGTAATAAAACAATTGCTCTTGACAACAGGGAAAGCTAGTATGTTTGCTTAGCATATCGTCAAACACTATAATTTATGAATGTAATGTCATGTTTTGCTCTTAAATCACAATACATGTCAGTAGTGTTTAGAAATTACGTCGGTGGTTTCATGTTGCTTTTTGACACAGTGAGAATATATTATTTTATTAAATTCTATCATACAAGTTCAAAAATTTAGATTAGCCCATGGTTTAATCACCCTCAAGTCATAGTGTATATGACATTCTTCTTTCAGACAAATACAATCGGATTTATATTTTAAAAAAATGTCCTGGCTCTTCCAAGCTTTATAATAGCAGTGAATGGCTGGAAAAAATTGAAAACCCCAAAAAGTGCATCCATCCATGATAAAAAAAAAAAAAATACTCCACATGGCTCTAGTGGGTTAATAAAAGCCATCAAAAGCAAAGCCATGGGTTTTTGTAAAAAAAAATATACATATTTATAACTTCATAATAATATAAAATAACTAGCTTCCGCCAGACGACCGTACGCATACGCAAATTGGCTTGTGCCACAAGAGTAACCCCTGACGCATGTATGATGTTACGTAGGATGTAGGAGTATCATAAGCTTAAGACGCCTTTCGCGGTTTAAACAAATAGGGCTGTGCAACAAACTGAAGCTCCTTTTCTATTATATAGAAATCCTCCGGCATTTCTCTTCAAAATTGATAATTTGCGACCAGGGATTTGTTTTGCTTTTACCTCTGAGCTTCCATGTAAGTCATTATGCTGTTCGTCGGTTCGGGGATTAGTCTTTCACCGTAAATCGATGCAGAAGCTAGTGATTAGTTTATAATGTTTTAAATATGGGTATTTTTCTTACACGCACTCATGGGTTCACTTCAGAAGGCCTTTATTAATCCCTGGAGAAAAGTGGAGCATTTTTATCATGGACAGATGCACTTTTTTGGGCTTCAAATTTTCTCCAGCCATTCACTGCCGGAAGAGCCAGGACATTTTTAAATATAACTCGAGTAAACCATGGGCTAACCATGGGAACCATGGGATGACTTGAGAGTGAGTAAACCATGGGCTAATTTTCCTTTTTGGGTGAACTATCCTTTAAAGACACACATCATTCTTATGAAAATACCTGTGATAGCTTGAACACAGAAATATTATCGCTATGTGTTTGTCTTCGTGTTTCATCAGTCAAAACGTCTCCATTTGCATATTATTACATCCATGTAAGGTATTTCCTGAAACGTCATAAGTTTAATACTTCTACGAATCTCACTTGTGGACTTTCTGCACAAAGTATGAATCAGTAGTAGGCTTCCAGTATGAATGAAACAGATCACTATCATCTCCCTATTTTGGTTAAAAATTAGAAAATAATACTATATTACTTTAAGTAACATAGTTACTTGAGTAGTTTTTAGTACTTCTACTTGTACTCAAGTAATTTATCACTTAAGTAGCACTATTTTTACTTAAGTACCTCTAAACAACTGTTGCTTTAATTGAAGAAGAACACAGTTCTCTAGAAACTTCTATAATCATTAAAATTACTAGGGTTGATTATCTAATCTGTTGATTGTATTCTGCTAACAAAAAGTTTCAAGCCGTCTTGTCGTCATTACAGCAAAAGTAGCTACCAGAAGAAATATCAGGCAACATGCCGTGTCTTTGACAGAGCTCAAGCTACCTGTCCCTGTATGTTTCCATCAGGACCGGGCAGCTCCACCGGATCATCTCCACCAGCAGGCAGCGCGTCGTTGACTTCAGCCTCGCTGTACACGTTATCTTCAGTGATCACTGCTGCCATCTGGCGGCCGCACTGCTCCTTAACCACAAGAGAGATGTAGGACAGGTAGATCACTGATAATGACGATTTCATTAAAGTAATGCATTCATTTATTATTGAGTTAATAAAAAAACAAGGTTTGGGATCTGAAAATATAAAACAAGTGTACAAAACCGGTTAAATCGACATCAACACCGCTAAAGTTTAAAACATTTATAGGTAGTTCTATTATACAATGAAGCTTGCCGATACTGTAGGGCGAAGTAACTTAAACATTAACTTTGTGCAAATAACTCACCAAACTGGTAACGATGAACTTCGCTACAACAAACTCTGCAAAGTCTTTTAAATGATTGAAACTCAACGTTAAGCAACTTATATCGAGACTCTAATAAAACTTCTCCCCTTGGAACAGTTGCGAGCTGGTTTTATTAAGAAAACAGAGAAGGAAATGAAAGTGTTCTCTCAAGTTCCCCATTTTCTTAAAGGGGTAGTGCTTCGATATGTCGGGTATGCTCACAGTAGCCTATTACACAAGGAAATTGGAAGACAGCCTGCTTGTATTCTCTCGCAAAATGTTTGTGAAAGGAAATTAATGAGGAAAAAATAGCCTTTCTATCAACATACCAAACTCATTTACATATGCAGTCTTATTTTTAATATACAATGAGAAACAAAAAAGTGCCTTCAATATCTGACTCTGGCTTTTATGAGTAGGAATTCGGAAATACTTCTTTCAACGTGTTTTTGCCCTTCTACAGTCATGTGAAAAAGAAAGTACACCCTTTTGAAATCTATGGTTTTACATATCAGGACATAATAAAAATCAGGGCCAAGTGCTTAGAAGGCAAAAACCATGCCAACCTACCTGGGAGTGTTGGACCAACTGCAACAATGAGCAATTAAATACATTTTAAAGGGTAACTAAACCCCTGGTCAGAGCACCTGATACAGGACTCTCTGGCAAGGGCTTGGTTGGCTGGTGCCTGCTTACATCACAGGGCACCACAACTTCCAATAGTAAAATTCAAATGCAGTAGCATAGGCAGCCACCATTCAACCTGAAGAGGGCAGAACTCAGACGCTTTTACACCATATATTGTAGAATTTAAACACTTTATACTAAAATGTCAAAAAAAAAATGTACTTGAAACAATGAATAGCATTAATAAAGCGTCTTATAGATCATTAACTAAAAAAAAAAGTTGTTTTAGGGTTTAGCTACCCTTCAAGATGATTTCAAGCAAAATGGGTGAAAAAGTCATATATACAGAAACTAAGGATATGATTTAATGGTTTATTTTATTTCGGGTGCAGCCCATGTCTGTCAAGCTCCAAAAATGAACAGGAAATGTCCCATTGAATACTGAAGATTTGTTAGACTAGTAAAAGAAGATGAATTCAGTGACATCTCCTCAAAAATACTTTTTAGCATACTGACAATCCAGCAGTCACTCTAAATGAATCCTCTTGAAACCTACGATCTCAACCATCGGGTAACAACCCTGACCCAATTAAATACACACACACACACACACACACACACACACACACGGAAAAAACTGTTTTTTGATGAATAGAAAAGTTCCAAAGAACAGAATGTATTTGAAATATAATCTTCTTTTTCTTTTCAACATTGATAATAATAAAACATTTCTTGAGCAGCAAATCAGCATATTATGATTCCTGGAGGATGTGACACTGAAGACTGGATTAATGATGCTGATAAAAAATAAAAACCTGACAGCCTGTTCTATAAATCTTATAACTGGCCATATTTGGATCTTCCAACAGGACAGTGATACATAAACAAACATCACAAGCACAAAACCAAGCATCTCTATTGGCCGTCCCAGTCCCTGACCTGAACCCTATAGATAGAAAATGAGTAGTCTGAACTGAAGAGAAGAAGTGCCAACATGGATCTGGGAATCTGCAGGATCTGTAGAGATTCTGAATGGAGGAATGGTCTGTGATCTCTCGTCAGGTGTTCTCCAAACTTATCAGCAAAATCTCTCTTCCTAATTTGAAATAAAGGGCCAGAAGCTAATCAGATTGGTAAACATTTTAATTTTGTTATGCAATAAAGGTACATTTTGTAAAATGACTCGGAGAATGTAAAAAATTACAATGACGTGTCAACATAAAAAAAGTCACCTACGATTTCACAAGGACACAATTTCACAACACTCAAAAATATCTCCCCAACCACACAAGGTTTTATTCCTGTGATGTAAATAATGTTCATGCTAACAAACTAACAACTCCTGGGGCAAGCTGTATCCCACCTCCTTGCATATCTAACATTGAATCAATATTTGTCTCAATATTGTTCATGTTATAATATTTATATTGATGTCCAATGGACATGCTGCCTGATTTCCCCGTAACGGATGTCCAAAGTGCCCACCGAGCCCATCCAAGGCCTTCAGCCCCACCCTTGGAGTCCATGTCAGGTCTTATCCAGTGCCCGCAGCGGCCTTCCTCATCACCTCTTCATCCTGAACGGAAAGCTCAGTGAGTTTACGGCCAAGTCTCTCATGCAAGTCCAAGTACTTGGCAACACAGCGGTCCAGACACACAGCTTCCCCCTTTGAAAGTTCTGCTTCCTTGTAATGAGGCGGAACACACTTCTTGTGACACGCATTAGTCATTCTGCATGAGGAAAAAAAACAGGAGAGATGAGATGACGGACCATGGACAAGTTGGTCAAAAGTTATCTGATTGGATTGGTCAAATCTTGAAAATGGGTTGCTCAAAAGAAGAATTTTTGTTTCTGAAATTGGATTAGATCACAAAACCCAATCCTAGTTTTGATCTGGATCAAATCGTTGGCGTTTTTTAAAACTTTTTAGTACGATTGGGATGCCTATGAAAATCTGGATTATCCACTGTATATAAACAAAACAACAAAATGACGATTTTTCTCGTCTCAGGGGGATATGGGGGTGGAAAGAATGGTAATTTGAAAATACTACAGGTTTTCTATACAAAGCTTAATGGTAAGTCCTGAAGTATCCCTTTAATGGAAATAACATCACAACATTTATTTCCATCAAGGGGTGCATCGATGTTTGGTCAAGATTTTGAATTGACAATGCAAGACTCCCGCACTCTGCAAAGTCTCCTCCAGCACAACCCAAAGACTTACAATTAATTTAAGGTCTTTGGACTCAGAGGTGCCAATTCATATGTGAATCATATTTTTCAAGCTCCGTCCCAATAATTCTTTCACAATTTGAGCCTGATAAAGCTTGAAATTGTCATCCTAGAATAAGGCCATGATGTGTTTTCCTACATGGTTGTTTATGAAATGAAAACTACACACTCCATTTAGGATTGGAAGAACAGTTACCTAACATATTTGCAAGAAATATTATCATCACTGCAATAATAATTCAATCATTGACTCTTAAGAATTTGCCTATTTCAATCCAAGCAGGTACTTTTTTGGCCGGGCAGTGTGTGCAATGTGCATATCAATAATAATTGACAAAATAAACGATTATCAAAATAACGGTTTACTAAATACATACAGTACATAACAGGAATAAATGCAATGCATTAATTGATCTTACAGGCGGGTTACATTATGGGTTATAAAATCATCAAGTTCTAAGTTCATGCTTTAAATTATTCAAGTATGCGTTCTTAAGGCCTGGTGTCTAAATAAGATCTAATAATAAAATAAAACGTATATCATGCCATATAGCCATAGGCTAATTGTACTACAACATCTACAAAATGCTATTCATTAGTTATGTAATCTACTACACAAGTCCATATTTTTTCCTGATGTCAGATATCGAAAACGTCAGTAATTTGACAGAAATTATGCCGTTACACATTTAAACCATCAGAGCTTCATACCGGTTATACATATCAGCCATCATTTCGACCTCCAGCTCCGCGGCGAGCTGCTGCGCTTTCATGGGGTCCATCTCGGCAAATAACCTTTCGGTTCACACTCGCTCAAACCCACCGGACTGCTCGTTGGTCCCGTTCAACAAAGAGCCCAAACAGCTTGCTTAACCTTCAGTGTGTGTCTGCTTGACCGGACCGGAGGAAGTACCCACGTGGATCCTTTCCATCCAGCGTTGTAATTGGCACTTCCGCTGACAATAAAGTTTTCCCATTCAAAACCAACTGCTACATTAGTACATTCGGAGAATGTACATTTGCTTCGTTGCTCCTGCGGTTGTAAATGAATTTATGCTCTGCTTTAAGTATTTTTGTATAATAAAAAAATATTAATTGTTTTACTGCTTTATTTTAACTGTATTTTATTATTTTACTTGCTACAACTGGAGGTCATAGGAACTGGTAAAAAGTGAAGCTATTACCAAGTTCTGATTACACAGATATTAAAACATAATTCTATAAAAATCACACTCACAATAAACAATTTCTAACCAATAAAATGTTTTATAGCTAAGCAGCAGCACAATTACATATATATATATATATATATATATATATAATCACAATTTTTCAAATTACCTGATATTTTTAGGTTCCTTACCTTGAGAAATATATACTGTTATATTTTATTCTGTGTTATACTAAACACAAACTTATTTCTTCTCAAAAATGTCAGATAACAGAGGATAAGTAACACAAATAAAGTCAGGCCAAAATAATTATACCAAATATGTATATTGTATTTGTATAATTTTACATATAAGCACACATCAAAAAGTGTTATATATAATATAGAAATTTATTTTAATTTACATAACATTATATGTAACTTTATACATGTATGAGACAGTCAAAAATAAATTAAGATGCCAATTCACTTCAGTAACATCAAACTGACAAAAAAAGAGAGATTTCTCACCATTGGATGTGTTAAACTTTAGGTTTTGAGAACTTTCAAACATCTGCTATTGACTTCAAAATGTGAAACATGTACGCTTAACATAAACATAAAATTTTATTCCGTCTCTTCACCAGTGACATCTACCTCCTCTTCTTCAGTGGTATCCAACTCGTCCTCTTGGTCCAGAAGACCCACAACAGGCAAAGTGACAACCTGTCCAGCAGCCAAAAGCCCTAATGGAAACTCTTCTACAGAATCCCCTACAACATCTACTTCAATGTCTTCTTCATCTAAGTGGCAGTCATCTTTTGATTCTGATTCGCCCCCAACGGACAGCATCATTGAGACATCTTCATTGCACACATTGGGGCAGTGGAACTTTGAACCTTCAGTTTGGACAGAAGGAGCATCTGTGCTTATTTCTTGAGGAAAAGCTATGAGAACAAAACAGCAGGATCAGGAATATTGACTATTATTATTATTAAAAATGTAAATTTCACAATTTTACCTCCTTTTGATGGATCATCTGCAGTCTTAGCACTTGCGATGTGTCCTTGAATCAATTCCTCTTCCTCCAAAAAGGTCTGTCCATCGAACACCTCAGCACTGTATTGGACCCCCTCCACATCAATATAATCATCATCCGACCCCTTGGTGGTTCCCCAATGTCCCTCGTTTTCCTCTACAAATGTATGTCCTCTTAGATCTTCAGTTTCTTCTCCTGTTTCTTCAATCATCTGATCGTCTTTGTTCCAACCTAAATCCGTTTCTTCATTGTTCTCCAAACAATCGGTCACCCAGTCAATATCCAGAGTGTCAACACCACAACCACGTGCTGCCTGAACTTTCTTTTCACTATCTGATGTCCTCTCAAATGAATGCTCATTAGAAACTGTAGTTTCCAAGTAATTTTTGACATGTTCTGCTTGTGTAATATCAGGATTCAAACAGAAATTCATTTCTATTCCCTCCATCACTGTCACTTCATTGGTAGTAACAACACAGTCCGTCTTTGTGGGAGAACAATCATGATCAGCATCATCAATATCCCCATCAGGTGACATGGCGTCCTTCACTTTTTCCTTCTCAGATGTTAACAGGACAGAAATCTCAGTTGTATGGTCCTGAATGTCTTTCCCCATCTCATTTTGGGAATTACCATTCTGTAAAACAGTGGTTGTTCTACTTGAGCCCTCCTCCATGGAAATATCTTCGTCTTTACCTGAATATTTCACATTATCTAGCATGTCTCCACATGACAACGGTGACCTTGCATGATTGTCAGATACCTCCACGTCTTTCTTTTCATTTATCAGCGTAGACATCTCTGCCTTTTTGATCTGTTTACTGCTATTCATCACTGATTTACTGTTAACATTATAACTTTTTCCTCCTTGGAATTTTTGAAGGCTAAAAGACGAGTCTCGCTGGCTTGCAACACTTGAATGAGCCTGGTGGAAAATTTGATGAAGGATACTTGGTCCCTTCGCCTGGCCAGCATATTTCAAGTGAGAATTCGGCGTTGCCTGTGCTAAATTGCCGTTAACATCGGCTTCTTCCATTTTTGTAGAGTCTTTCTCCTGCTGTGGATTTGGTTCTTGCTTACTACCCTGTTCAATCGTATTGTCCATCTTAGTTTTTTCCACTTCACAATCATCTTGGCCTGAACTGGGCATTTCCTTTGCATTGTTACCCAAGTGAGCTACAGGAGTTTTTTCTGATTTAGGTGGTCTGCCACGACCACGTTTTACAACACCGGTGAGATGTTGTTTAGGTGGTCTGCCACGACCACGTTTTACAACACCAGTGAGATGTTGTTTACTGGCGGCGTCTAACAGAGCCATTTTCTTACTGAGAGGTGAAGTAATTTCTCGTCTTCTCTTCATAGCTACAGGTACTCTTGTGCTTGCACTGGTCATTCGGGTACTGACTCCACATGTGTCAGAATTTGATGGCTTAATGTCTCCAGAGTGGGGCTCAGCACATTTGGATATCCTTGGTTGAACCTCATCCCCATTTTTTAGGTTTTGGCGCTCCGTTTTCCCTTTCACTCCTGACTTTTGAGTTGCAATCTTACGTTTTCTCGTCTTTCTCTGTTTAGGATGCTCACTAGCATCGCTCACACCAGGCTGAATGAAGTTTGAGCTACTCCCACTGATCAAATTATTATGTGAAAAGGAAGTCTTTAATTCTTGACATTCTAGAAGGTCAGGGCATGATCGATTTTTGCAGGCGTTGAGGTCATGCTGTGGACGTGGGCAGGAATTGCCAATCATTGAGCTTAGAGGGAAGTCCAATATCAGTGGTGATTCAGAAAGCCACAAGGGAAGGTTTTGTGTTTCAGAGTCTTGTCTGTGTGATGGTTTTGATGGAACATCACTGTCTTCTTTTTCTGATTCAAGGGGGGAAAGGCATTGTAGTAGTGTTAAATCTGGCCTATCCTCAGGTATGCTGGTCATAACAAGGCTAGGCATTTCACCAGTTGCAACAGAGTTTGGGACAGCTGTGGCTTTTGGAATTAAACTCAAGCCTTCTATAAGTGATGGGGGAGAGTTTCTTGACGCAGTTGCCCGATTCTGAACTTGGTTCAAGTGGTCCTGTTTAGGTGACTGAGTCAGGAGTGCGACTGTATTGGAACTTGACTGACTGTGAAAGTCTGAGTGGTCTGAAAAAAACAATTAGTAAAGTAAGTAAACAATTAGTAAACAAAAACAAACACTCAAAATAATGCATGCTTGCACACCGCGTTTCCACTGCAATTACCAGGAACTATTTGTCCCAGGAACTATTTTCATAGGAAATTTTTTTGCCCCAGACCGGTTGCTTTCTGCTTTTACAATGCGGACTAAAGTACCGGGAAGATTAGTTTGCGTTTTGTTGTTTTTTTGAGTGCATCTTGAGTTTTAAGTATGGAGGAGATTCAAGCTTTTGTGGAATCTTCTATTGGTTTACTTTTTTTGGTAAGCTTTTGGTTTACTAACAAGGTAATTAACAAAACGGCAGAAAAGAGACAAGCACTAGCACTAAAGCATATTCAGAAAGCTTGTAATGCTAGATATAAAAGTAGACAACATTTGTTATCAGCTATAGGGGACATTGATTGTGAGATGGATCGAGCAGAAAGAACCAAGAAGCTCAACCAATCAGCATGTTCAGCGCACAAGTCCCACCCGAAAGTTCCTGAACACTGAAAAAGTACTACCTCACCAGCAGGGACTTTCTGGGGGGACATTTTTTTCTTCACTTAGACCCTGGTTCCTGCGGTGTAAACACGCCAAGTACCACCCCAAAGTTCCTAGTTCCTGGGGAAAGTTCCCGTGGTGGAATCGCGGCTTAAAATAACATAAACCAAAGACTTTACCTTCATCTTTTTGTCCTGAAGACCCAACTGGTATTGCTGTCTTGCTAACACCAGATTCCCTCATCTCTGGCCCACAACTTTGCACAAAAAGAGAGGGACCTTGAGTAGAGGCCTCAGTGCCCTTTTGCCCATCTTTTTGTTCTTGAGAAGGACCTGGCTGATCTTGCTCATTCAGATTTCTGTCTAATGGCACCAACGGAAGGATGTTTAAACCCATCATGAACATATCCTCCAAGAGCATTGCAATATGCTCATCCGATTCGTCTGCTTGGGGAGGGCTGGAAGATAATGTTGGTATATCCAAAGGGGAAGAGACAGAAATGTGATGTGGATTACGAACACTTTTATCTGAAGAGGCATGTGTGGAGGAATTAGAGGGGGAAATGGGCAGGTCCGTCTGTGTGGTGAGACTTCCAAGACTTTGACCAGGAATCACACTAGATGGGCAGCTCTTTAGTCAGATATAAAGTAAAAATAAGATTATGAAAGGAAATTTTGCTGTTGAAAAGTGGGTCTCTATAATTTTATACATATACATAACATAATAAACAAATTAAGCAGAGTTAGGCTCACCAAGGCTGCATTTTTACTTTGCAAAAATAAGAGTAAAAATTGTAATATTGTTGTCTATTTTAATATATTTAAATATGTATTTCAGCATTATTACTCCAATATTCAGTGTTAAATGATCCTTTAGAAATCATTCTAATATGCAGATTTGGTTCTTAATGAACATTTCTTATTATTATAATCCATATTGAAAACAGGTGTGGTGCTTGATATTGTTGTGGAAATTGTACTGTAGTAATGTAAGAGTTCCTTACTGTCACTTTTGATCAATTTAATTTATTTCAAAAATATATACAGTATATAGTTTGTATGATGAAATGTATCAAAAGTGAGAGTTAAGATTTATATATCAAATGCTGTTTTTTTTTTACTTTCTACTCAGATTTTTTTTTTTTTACCCTGGTTTTTCCACAACTGTTTTAACAATTGCGTGTGTCTGTGTGTGGCAACAAACATAGCACCCAGATTTTGAATATAAATCCTTACCTGAGTTCGAGGTCCACACTCTTTTGCTTCTTCTGGCTTCTTCTCACTTTCACCCTGGACGGAAACGAGGAGATTACTTTCCCAGCAAGCTCCACTCCTTCTGCTCAGTTTTATCTTTACTTTAAGCTGGTCCAGTTTGGCCTCTTTCTGTTCAGTAGCAGTGTTTTTTTGTCCGTTATCGGCCTCTAAAAGCTTTTGGAAGTCTTTGCCTGAGACATTCCTTCTTTTTTCCACCACTCCAATTTGGTTTGATTTGTTCCCTTCAACATTAAGAAGCTTTATCTGGTTTTGTTGACGAGTTATTTTTTTTAATTGGCTTTCTCTCTTTGCCATTTTCCACTTCCTCTTAGACTTTGTTTTATGATGGTCTGATATCGATGCTTCTGTCATGTCAGCGAGGGAAGGAACTGAGGCATTACCGTTCAAATTTAAACCTCTAGTTGGACTAATTTCTTCCGAAAACTGCGATGGTGGCAAATCAGGCCCCAACAAGCCACAAGGTTGCACTGAAGTCACTGAAGCAGTACTGCTCTGTATCTTCAAAGGTTCAGAAACGATTTCACTCTCCTGGCTCTTCACGCTGTCTTCTGTCCGTACACCAGTCTCTTTACAACAACTCCCAACATCCACAACTCCTCTGTCTACCCACAACGCTCTCTTTTTTGCAAAAAGGTTTCTAAGTCCAAGTCTGTGGGCAGCAGCCATTACTTCCTCATGTTCGCTCCGACTCTCGATCTCCATTTCACCGGAGTACAGAAACCCAACTAGCTTCAGTAAGGCATGAGATCCTACAGCCTCAAGGCTCAGAAGCCTGTTCTGCCCTGCATGTGGTGCAGATGAAGTGGAAAGGATTCTTGAGAAGATGGGGCTTAGAGCAGCTAACACACAGCTGTGAGCAGGAACACAGACACCTGAAGAAATTAAAAGTATTTTTAGATAATAGAAAAGGCATTGTTTTCGTTCCACTTTTCTTTGCTTGTGGAATAATCTTCCCAATCCTATCTGGACAACTGAATCCCTGAAAAATTTCAAAGAACCAGATGAAAAATCATCCCTTCAGTGAGCCCTTAACTACATACTGCTGAAAAAAATCTTGACACAATCATCTCACAACGTGTTAGCTTGTACCAGCAATTCTCAAATTCATTGCCTCATTGAGGAATACAACAAGTGATTCATCTTAAAGTCTGCTAAATTTACTGCTAGTACAAATTATTTTTCAATGACCACAAAATAACAGAAGACTTTAACTAACAATAACATCTTAAATTTGAAAATTTACAACAAAAATGGCCCAGCAAGCAAATCAACTGCCCCTAAAAAAAAATTAAACATTATTGGAGCTAATATTATTATTGTTGCGCTTGAATCAGTCAGTGATGTGCTAAATTAACTGCTTTAGAGTAAAAGACAATGAGTGTAAGTCAAGTAGGATTCATTTATAACAATAGACATTAATAATTTCTATGGTATCTGTCAACAATTACTGACTGTGGAAATCATGGCATCAGGTCTAGGCTATATGATTTGTTTACAATGCAAGTAATAAAGTTGACAGCTTTTTCCAGTGACAGTGTTTGTGATCTCTGCTCTTACCCTCTGTCTGTAGAAGAGTGTCACAGAAGATGCTTCCCTGCTGCTGCTTCTGAAGTTCACCAAGTAGGAATAATGCAAAGTCAGGATGCTGATACTTCCACATGCTGGCATCAACTTCAGTCTACATTTAGAAACTTCAAAACAAAAGGTAAGGCTGTTTGTGATCCAGAAAGATTCCACTTTCTTCAATTTAGCGAGATATACATTTACTTACTTTGTGTTATCAATTCAGATCCAAAAGCTGTAGACTAAAATAACTAACATTTGTACAAGTAGAGGCTTTTACATTGCTTTGATAGGCCTATGTATCTACACATAGAAAAGTTCAAATTTGTGAGTCTGAGGGCTGATCGGGCAATTTTATTCTAAATTCAAAACATTGTATCAAATTGCAAATAACGTTAACGTTACATGTATCAGTTCAGCCATACTCTCGATCTCGAAGTTCACAAAATGTCAACAGATCCTGATGACGCTAGAATTTCCACCGCGTTTTCATGCACCAAGTGCACGTGCTTCACCAATACTTGCTAGTATACCGATATTTTAATCCAAAATCAACAAATAATTTTACATACGCAAACACGGGTGATATGTAGGTAGGACACGTGAGCCGCTCCATAACAATCTCATGTCAACCGACTCTCGCTCTTGATCTACTCGGTGGCTTCAGAGGTGAGATTTTGATCTCAGTGATTCGAATATTTTGAATCGATTCACCAAAAAGATCCACTCACTGAATTGTGAACCTAACGTACATCGTTACGACAGCGCCATGTGAATATGTAGTCATTCACTACGATTTTATTGTTGAATCATTAACTGTGTAGCTATAGAAGTTTACACATTCATAATAATTATTCCGCCTCTGTGTTCTCCCATTTGTGTGTGTGACTCGCTGATGTTTTTTTGGGTGCCACTGCAGTGAATCCCAACCTCACTAGGGTTCGCTAAAGAGGGGTCACAAGCTCACTCTTTGAGGGTTACATTTAGTGTTAACTAACAGTGTCTGGCGAATAACTAGGCAACTATACAAACCTGTACTATTTGTATTACCATTGTTTACCAGGATTTGAAAAATCTCACGTTTTCTGCCCTAGCAAGGCGCATGCGGCATTGTTGTTTCATTTTGTGTGAAACCTGGTGAAAACATGAAACTGGTGAAAACATGTTAAGTGAGATTTTACTACTGAATGCTGAGGGAAATTATATAAATTAAAGTATATATGAATGTATCTCTGAAGTGAACTGACGGCCTTGATTGGGACATTTTAACAACTTGCCCCATTATTATATGCAAAACTGTTGCATAGGCTATAATTTGACAACACAAATTTTTTTTATTTTATTACATTTGTTTTGAAAATTCCTTTGAAGGCATGAAAAGAATAAAAACAGCTCCGGTAAATGTATAGGCACATAACGTAAATTATGCTGGGAACCTCTTGAGAAAGTGTAATATACACTGTAAAAATTATTTTGGCACTTAAGTTCAGTGCACTCTTAAGCTGCAGTCTTGTTACGGAATAACATTGTAGCCGGTGTGGTGAAGAGATGAGTCCCAGTTTAGGAGGACCCAAGCAATCCGGTTCAAAGTTAGTTTTATGGATAATCGGTTTAGTGGCTGGTTACAAATCAGAGCAAGGCTTCTCACGCGACGCAGGTACTGGGATACTCAGCAGCGGTACGACTAGAACGATCTAAAATAGTCCAAATATAAACACTTAAGTTTTAGGTGTACCGTAGTGACTCTGGAGTCAGGTACTTGCTCATTTTGAATAAATATTACAGACTGCATCTTAACCAGGGAGCCAGTGGACACTATAGGGGCCTCAAGGTTAGACCATTTAAAACGATTTTTAATAAGACAAAGCAAGCAATAAACTTAACTAAAAACTAACATATGTCCTATTTTTAGTTAATCTCCTCAAAACCTGTATATATTTTTTTTTGTCTTGGATAACCTGGATATGTGAGGTATAGCCTAATTTGGAGTCACAAATTAAAATATTAAAACTTATGATGCTATTATGTGTGTGTGTGTGTGTGTTTAAATGGGTGAAAATTAAAATATTAAATGGGTGAGTGTTAGTAATAAAAAACATACATAAGGATTTATATATATATATATATATATATATATATCCTTATCTTTGATCCACATCCAATAAATCACGAACTGGAAGCTCATATAAATTCATCGCTTAAAAAGGGAAAAACATATGAAAAAACATATAGCTCTTAAAAATTCTGAAACCCTGAAATATATTTTACAGAAAATAGGTGTGTCAGGGGTTCAGATATTGTTAACAATGGAGGGCCTTGAGTCAAAAAAGGACGAGAACCACTGGTTTAACCTAGTTGTTTCCAGTTTTATTTTTAAGCTGACAACTAGCAGTTTATGAGTTTCATCCAATTTAAATTTAAGTCCTCACTGTCTCCACTAATTTGTAATTTGACATGATTATATATATATCATGTCACAATCATATTTACAAGTAAGCAGCAACTAAAATAGACTTATCAAATTGATCTCATACATTACATTCTCAAGTGAAGAATTTTAAATGAACATATTAAATTTGTTAAAGTACAAAAATTCACTGTCAGAACCTTGAAAAAAAATCATCGTTTTATTAAAAAAAAAAAAAAAACAGTATTGCTAAGTTACATGTTCAATCCACGAAAGAAAGGTGCAATGTTTAAGACCAAAGGTAAAGTGTTGAAATATAGGAATTATGAATCAAGATCCACAAGTTAGTGTTGCAGAGAAATGGCATGTTAACTGACAGAACATGACACAAAGATTTTTTTCCTTTCGTCTTTAATTAAAAGATATAAACTGTAAATGCATTTATTTAAAAAATAAAAATGATTGCATATGCATTCACCCACAACACCCCAGAAAAACAAAATCAGCCCCAATCATAAAATACAGAAAAAGAAAAGAGCAACAGGACAAAAACCAAAGGAGAAAAAAAAATAATTAAAATTAACAAATATTCTCTGGTAAATATAGTTAAATGTGCTTTTATTTTATCTTATTTTCTCATCAAGCTAGAATCAAAATCTGAGCTCTTGCTAAATCCTGCCTGAAAGAGACAATTTTTGTGATTAAAAAGCTCATTTATCTGCCTCCCTCAACACTGAACAATCGATTAATTCCTCATTGTTGTGAACAGCCCTCTCTATCAGTACTGACTTCTTGTCTTCGGACTCTTTACTGACTGTAGTGTCTTGAAAAATTGTTTTACAATTGGCAAACAGGAGATTAAAAAAGGCATTGGGGAAAAAATGAATTCTTAAAAAAAAAAAAAAAAAAAAAAATCCACTGACCCCTAGTGCTATTTCAGTTTATATTCAGTAAATATCTACAACAGACTTACTGAGCATTTGAATATGCAGTCTAAGAAACAAGCACTGTATTTATGGATTGTAGAGAACAAAAAAACAATGGATACACATCCTCAAATGTACACTCGTTTCCTCTCTACACAGACAGGCACTGAAACCAAGAGGCAGACGGGTGGCCGAACGTCCCTGTTCACCGCTTATCACAAACACACAACGCAATGAGCAAGCGAGGCACTCCAAGTATGCAGAGTGGATTTGTGAGATGCAGTCATATTTACACATTCATTTATATTCAGACAAAAAAGTGAACAACCACAAACTGTCCACCAGCAAGGCCGATTCACAACAATATTGAAAAGTGGGAGCACCAATCTAAGACCAAGACTACAATTTGTCTCCAAGAGTTCTTCTGTTGCTTTTTAATTGTGTTTATTAAAATAACTAAGGGGGAGGAACTCTTTAGTTTCCACACAGAAACTAATTGTTTGTGACAATTTCAAACGCTTTGCAAATTTGTCACAATGCAAGGAGGGTCCCATAGAGCACAACTGTCCTCATCTACCACTAGAGATCGTTCTTGAATGCTACTGGTTTAAAAAAATAAAATAAAATAAATCTCACAAAACAAAAATCCCTCTGCCTCTTTTGTAATGCTTCAACGCTTTCACAACAACCTCTTCCTAGAGACTGAACTCTCAATCAGACCATCTACAAAAACCACAGATGGATAACTTAAGGGGAACTGGTGGTCATTTAGTGCTTTTAGAAAACAATGACCAAAAAGAAAACCCTCATGTCCGTCATGATGCGTCGAGACGCACAACTTAAGAGATATTCTATATACATTATTTTCTGCAGGCCACATATGACTTATGCAATTTGGCATTACCTTTTTATCAATGTAAACCACTAAAGCAGGATGAAGCAAAATAATCAAAATACCACTGCCATACTATACTAGTGTTCCAATAGACGTATAAGCAATAAAAAAAAAAGAAATGGTTTATAAAGCTTGATAAGCTGGGCATGTGACTAAACAGACATTTTAGTCCCAAATGTTTCCATTATTTGACAAAAAAAAAAAAGTGGTATGGACCAAAAATCAAGAGAGGAATTCATTGTGTAGTGTCCATTTTAAGTAGTGGCTGTTCTCAATCACATTGATCTCAATAAGAGTAGGAGCGACAACTAGAGAATGTTGAAAACTACAGAAGGGTCTTTGCAATTAGTGGCAATGGTCCCGTAAGTGATGAGATCAGAGGCTCAGCAGGGACAGTAGGCAGGAGGAGGAAACTCACGGCGGGTGATGCACACTATCAGTTTTTCTGTGGAGAGAAACAGATGAGACGTGAAGGTCAAGCGTGGTGCTCGATCACTGATAACAAGGGAAAATGATTCAGTAATGCGTCATCAAAGAGCTGCGATGAGAATTTGTGCATATTACACAAATCACATCACTCATTTTGTGACAGATAAAACCACTGAAACATCAGTCATGTGACCAAAGTGGACACATGAGGGGAAGAGGTCAGTGTTGGGGAGGAACTAACTGATAGTAACAACGCTACTAATGAAACATGATACTTACTGGCTGAGCTGTTTTCTGAATTGTGTTTTATTCATATAAATCAGTGCGGTATATTAAATATTTGCCTTAGTCATTTGTTTTTGACTCTAGCTGACTGGAAATTTGATCTATTTGAGATCCTTGTTTAATGCACCAGATAAATAAATATAGCCATGTATACGTACACGCATTAAATTCTAAGGATGCATAAATTAAAATACAATTTATATACATTTTGCAGTGAAATATTGACTTGTTTTTGTAAATGTATTTAAATTTAAAATGCCATCCTATTTGAGATCCTTGTTTTTGCACCTGATAAATATAGCTCTAACTGTAAAAAATAAAGTACAAAAATGAAGCAGCTTGTATTCCTAACTAGCTCGACTGGAATTTAACTACTGTAAATTGAGCAGCTTGCAGTTAAAAAAAGCTTCCCCAACACTGGAAATTAGTAAACCCATTTCCACTGAAGTACAGAATAACAAAATACTGTTAATGAGGGTTAGATCCACAAATACACAGAGCGGCACACATCCACTTAAATGTACACATGAAGCCCATGCAGAAGGTGGACACACATACCATGCGTGCTCATGCACTGAGTGGGGGGAGGGGAGTAGCCTAACCATCATAAGAGTCCAACAGAGGCAAAGAGCCCCGTCTCTCCCCATACATTCCTCCCTGAGAGTCAAAGAGAAAGAGAGATTGAACCAGAATAAGAGAAAGGCATCGAAGAAGAGGTGAGTGATAATAGAAGGAGAGGGGGAGTGTGAGAGTTAGTGTGAGAGTACTATTAGTGAAATTACAGTAGGTTACAAGTTTCAGCTTGAGTAGTGTGTGTGGGTTTTATGATGTCCGGTGTGCAAGGAAGTTAGTGAGAACAAGTTTGTTGTTTGTAACTGCACAAGGGTGGACGTTTCCCTTTGAAGGCTGGCGTTACCTGAGGTGCGTCTCTGTCAGAGCGATCCAGAGTGTCGTCTAAAGTGTTTCTTCGTCCTCTCTGGTCTATCGTAGAATAAGCGTCTGGAGCCACAGACAAAATCACAGCATATCAATTGCATAGATATAGCAGTAATTTAGAAATTTTCTATAAATTTAATATACAGAACACATACTATTAAATATATATATATATATATATATATATATATATGTATATTTGTGCTGTCAAACGATTAAAATATTTAATCGCGATTAATCGCATTAATGTCAGTTAACTTGCGATTAATCACAATTAATTGCACATTTTTTTCTATTCTAAATGTCATTATTTTTTCTCATTTTAATGCTCCATCAACATGGAAAAGTGGATCGGTGTGTGTGTGTGTGCTCAGTTCACAATGACAAAACACACAGATCACTTTGGTCTCGTCATTGGAACCATTTGGCAACTTTTTAAAAGTAAACTTTCCATTCAGAATCTTATTGGTATCCATTTCGGCATCTCGCGCTCGTCATCCACTCAAAACGTAACGTTAACCATGCATGTGAAAGAAAACTACAAAGTTTGCTAGGCCAAAAATACCGTTAATCACGCGATAAACATTAACACGGTTAAAATGGGTTTACATTAACACCGTTAATAATGCGTTTAACTGACAGCCCTAATATATATATATATATATATATATATATATATATATAAATAAATAAAGTATATTATATATTATATATAATATATATATATATATATATATAGTGTATATAATAACAATAATAAAAAAATGTATATAATAATAATATATACATTAAAAAAATCCCCTAAAACCTGCATTTCGCACTCTTATTTTTTGCAGGAAAATTATACTTTTATTCAAGAATCATGCATTAAATTGTTCAAAAGTGAAGTGATAGTCTTATAATGTTATAGATAGACTAGAAATGTGTTCATTTTAGACCTATGCATAAAGTATGAGAATAAACTCAGTGCATTTTACCTGGTCCCATATCATTAAGTGGAATCATGTCTCTGTCCTGTTTGCCTCCTAACAAAGAGACCCAAACACAGTCAGATCAGAGACAAAGTTGTATACTGCATGTCCATTCGACTGATAAACGCATCAAAAGCCATTCAGCAGGAATGTGTTGTGTTCTTACCCCTGTCTATTAGTGGCAGGGTGCTGTCCTCATATCCCCCGTTGCTACGAGTGTTGTTGTTAGGAGGGTTGAGGTTGACCATGAAGTCGGTTTTCTTCCAGCCATCCTTCTCCAGTGTGCGGCGGAGCTCTTTGAAGCTCCACACGATCTGCAGGACCTGCCCCGCGCCACGTACCTCTCGATCAGAACGGTTGCTATATGGGGAAAATGCAGATTGTGAAATAAAAAAAAATAAAAAATGCTTTTTTTATGAGCTGTAGTTATGTTAAAAAGTTCCTCTTTCAGGTTCCTCCAATGTGACTAACCAATTAACACAAAAACAGACACACACACATACATACCCGTCTTTGTTGATGAGCACCAGTCTCTCGATACCCTGGGAGCTGCGCAGGGATTTGGCCGCATCCACGCTGGAGCCGATCACTTCCGTCATCGTGCTGAGAACAGACACCACCGTCTCCTCCGAGAGCCCGCGCACAGGCTGACTCTGACCACTGCCTGGCAGATTGGCCACCAAGTTAGGCACTGAATGCTTCCCTACACAAAGAGAGGATGAGAGATTGTGTAAACATCACTGGAAATCATTTCATGGTAACAACCCTGAACAGACAAATACAAAGTCTAGCACAAATAAACAGGAATTAATGGCTCACACACCTAGAAGCTCACGGTTGCGAGCGTCGATGGCCAGGTTTCTCAGAGCTCCAGACATGGCTCGGACCACACGGTCGTTCCCATGAGACAACAGCTCCGTCATCATCGGCAGGCCATGTTCCTGTCTCATCGTTGCTCTAATGTATCGCCCATACTGACAAAAATAAGGACAGATCAAATTATGAAGCAGATTTCCGCTCTTCATGGAGCCAATAAAACAAATATTAAGGAATTGACTAGGGCTGCTTGACTACGTAAAAAATCATTTTCTAATATTAGATTTCAAAAAGTTGATAACGAACATGAAGCATGGCAACATCTCGCAGCGTGATGCTGATATACAGAGAAAACAGTTAAAAAACCCTTCAAATTCAAGATATCAGGGCAAAAGTTTTTCATCGTTATATAGTTAAGCAATATCACACGGGCAGTTTTTGTCCCGAATGAATGTGACAATGCAAACGTGATATTGATTTTATACAACAGTTCTATAAATAAGAAGTTAACTGTTATATTTTAGACACAATATTGTTTGCTTTTGATTTTGCCAAGGGAAATATTACCTATAAAGCCAGAGCAGAACTGTTGTGCGTCTCTGAGCAACACACAGCGCTGTTTAATTTCTAAACGTAACTGCATTGTGAACAAACCAATTGGGTAAACCAATGATTCAATAGCCCATTTATAAAAGAGAGTATTTACTTAATTACTGAGTGAATCAGCTGTTTGAACGAATCAAACAAATGAATGACTCTTACTCATTTAGGCATTTACCCCCACCTACTGGCAGTTTTAGTTTCTTATTTAGAATATAATTTAATAATAATTTAAAAATCCATAGTAATAATACAAAAAAAAAAAACATTTAAGCTTTAGTTCACCCAAAAATGAAAATTCCAAGGACCACATGGTCACTTAAGCCTAAAAGTTTGTGTAATAAATTCTATGTTGAATCCAAATATATTGATGCTTTGATGCTTTTCTCCTTTAACACTATCATGACTTTAAATTATCTTTTGGGGGTAATTTTGTTTCATAACTGCTTTTTTGGGGGAATGAAAAGTTAATTTTAAGCCCTGAAAGTTGCAATATGTACTATGTAAGGTCTGAAAAGTCAGCATTATTGAGTGTACTCACGGTCCAACGGCCTGCACACAGGTTCTGCACGGCTCCCGCGGCGGCTTCCAGAACCGAGGGGTTCTTACTCTCTTTCAGAAGAGAAGTGTACACGCGCACCACCTCTGGCTGGAACAGCAATTCATAACCTACAAAACACCACAATTACATTATTTCATCTATTATCTAACTACCAACTATTCAGAGACAACAAGGCTAAACTGTCGTCGTACCTTTGGCTGGTGAGGTTCTCTTTGGAATGTCAATCATATCTGAAGTTCCATCATCCTCTTTTTTTCCTGAACAAAGCAGACGGCATGAGCAACAAGCGAAGTAGAAATGAAGAGGAAGATCTTATCTGCCCGCTTAATGATAGTGATGTAATTTATGACAATTTAGAAGCAAAAGTCTGAAGAAAACATCATCTTCAAATATTTAAAAAGGGGACTTTCTTTAGACAGTTTTCAATAGAGACAGTTCTGACAAAGGTTACATTTATTCCCTGGAGGAAAACCCCCAAGTTGTGTAAAGATTAAATGACTAAACACTTGAGCCAAGACGGCTCATATTTCACAGTAGTGTATGCCAAAGTGACAAAGTGCAAGTTTCAAAGAATCAGACAATTGTCTTTTAAAATGTCTACATGATTAAACATCAAAAGTGAAGGTGTGTAAGGAGTGGACTTATTGAAAATGCTGAGCTCTGACACCCTCTGGTGGTTACTAATGAAATGTTTTAAAATGCAGCAAGCATTTTAAAGAGCCAGTCACACAATTAAGAAACAAAATCAGATTGCAGAAAACCTTTATTGGGGGGATCTAGTCTTTCCTTTCCCAGTTTTCAAGAATAGCCAGCTATTTTGAGGTAAAAACTGTTCTGTGAACAGTTTGGATGATACCTTAGAAGGCAGCAGCAGTGTATCTCACAAGGTTTTAAAACAGAGAGATAGTATCCAATGTCATAATACATCCATTTCCTACTGATCAATAAAAACGTGTTTGAGTGACTGGTCCCCTTAATAGGCCTTCTTACTTTACAAAAGTAGTGCAGCTCATAAAACGAATGTGAAATGGGATGAGAAATAAATCATTTTCTCTTAAAACATTTCCCATTTCAGATCCAATTGAACAGGGTTAATAATGGGTTGCAATGAGGTGAAATGTAAGTGATTCCCATAATAGCAAAGCGAAGCCTTTTACTAAAAAAGTACAGAAAATAAAGAAAAAAGTAAAAAGAGAGAAAAGCTTACCTTTGGAAAACCACTCGTCTGTTACAGGATAAAAGGATGTACGGAATGAGAGCAGAGGAGACAGATACAGAAGAAAATGAGGAAAGTTTTGGCATAAAAAAAATTTGCAGTAGTGCCCCAGCCACCATACAATTATTTAGCAACAAACCCACAAACAAGGCACACCACACAATTCATGCATGCTTCATCTCCATTGTGTGCAAACAAACTTCTATGATCTGACACATCTAACTAACAGACTACAAAGTGTGTACTATGAATTAAAGACTAGGAATAGGCACGGCCTATGTTTACACGACACAGAGATTGTGTACTGGAATGCAAAGATAGCAAGTAAACTTATTTTAATTGGTTACGGCACACAGCTAGTGCCTGTGTTTTTCTTTAAATGAATCAGACGCGCACCTTTGCCCTTTCGGGAGCTGAAGCAGCCGCCCTTTTGGGAAGAGGCGGGGCCATGATTGACAGGAGTCATCTCCTGATAGCGCTCCGAGCCTGGTATCTCCCGATGCACTTGATAGGACAGATTCCTCAGCAGACACACACTGTTCTCAATCAGCTGCACAGAGACATAACAAACATCATCAAATAATACATCATTTGTTAGAGATTGAAGCAGGACAACTAGAAATATATTTATAAAACTGTTGAAAACCAAAGAAAAGGCTGATCCTACAAACAATTCAGTAATATTCATAATTTGCGGATTCTTACTCCACTAACCCCTCAATGATCCACTAACCCCTGGGCCCGGTATTTTGGATAACGGATTGGATCAAATCTTGAAAATGGGTTTTTCAAAAGAAAAAATGGATTACATAATCCAGTCTTGGTTTTGATCCAGATCAAACCTTTAGTTTGGATTTTTCAGAACTTTTTTGTAGGAATTGGATCACTTGGATCTTAAAAAAAAAAAATAAAAAAAAAATCGGGATTAAACTGATCCCATCAGAAAGGTGGATTCAGCGTGGATGTCCAAAATGTAATGAAAACTTTAAAAATTTATCAAATAATACTATATTTGGATCATGCAGTATTTGGATCAGTAAGATATCCTATTTATTCACAAGGTTTTAATTTTATTTGTTCATCCATCAGGCTACAGTGATTAGGTAGGCTTTAAAGTATAAAATAAAGTAGAAAGAGTTTGGCCTCATAAAATAATCCCCCAAACAGCTGTCAAAATTGACCACCAAAAACAATAAATTTTATTCCGTCACTAATTGATATATATATATATATATATATATATTTTCATCACAATGAAAAATATTTTTTTAGAATATTTATTAGTGATGCATGTAATTATTACAGAATAACCAAAAAAAAAAAAAAAAGCAAGTTTTTTTGGACAAACTTGATTAATTCAGGTGTGCCTGACCTCAGTAGTCACGGCAACAATAATCAGACACACCTGAATTAATCAAGTTTGTCCAATAATGACAGACAGGGAACAAGAAGCTGGCTGAAGTTCAGGAAGTAGTGCAGCTGTGCATAAAGCCAATTGAAGTGTTGTCGTGCTTGCAAAGTAGGTTCCGAAAGATCGCCTCGATTGTACAACAAGTTATTCATTTATTTTCAAAATACTAGTGTATTTTGCCAAGTGTGTGGGCTTATTTAACTAGTCCTGTATAAATAGGCAGGTTAACTTTTACAAGTTTACCGTTCAAATTGTCTAACAGCAAAAAAAAAAAAATTGCAGTGCGTAATAATAAAAACGTCCCAAAACGCTTTCTTCCCTCTTTTCTCTTCCTGGAAACATGCTTCTCCTGTCATAAAAGAGTGGTGCGCATGAAAGCGCAGTTCTCAAAACTTAGTCACAGTTCAGTTGTTACCTTGTTGTCCACATCTTTACAGTTGATCTGTGACTGGACGATGTACATGAGAGAGTCGACCAGTCCAGAGCACTCCCTCAGCTTCCTCCTGGCCTCGCTCCGCTCCGAGCTCACATTCCTGAGAGCGAAACGTCATGCAACTAATTAGGACACTGCCTGTTTAATGTTTAGCAATGCTTGGCACGCATAGAAACTTTTAGCTTCAGGTCATCACCAAAAACATATTAACCAAGTGTATACACAGATGGCAGCAGGAAAGTTGAGCAATACATGAGAAAGTGAGGGTTAAAAAGGCAAGATGCTGTTAGCTCTACTTAAATGTAATCATGGTGTAAAACCACTCCTCCGACTGAACGGAGCTCTTTCTAAAAGCCTAATAGGCGAGTGGGAGAAGTGAGGGACACTTTCAAAGAGAAGCACTCAAGGGAAATAAGTGGATTCAAAGATCACATTTCTCTCTTTTGTCCAAACTTTGTCCTGGTTCTTTCACAGCCTCAGAGGTTCTTGCTCACACACAATCTAAGAGCATTTCCTTTGCACTTCCTGTCTTTCTTCCACATCAAAATGCAGCTTCCTCACACACACACACAACTTTTCTTGACAGGAATTCTTTAGCAGCACTGAGGCACACCCCTCCTCCGCCTATAAAGTCTTTCATTAATCTGAATCATTAAACTGTCCCTTCCCAACATATCCTAATCCTTTCCTCCGCCCATCTCTCTGTGTTCCCGTGGCTTAACTGCATCTCCAAAGTCACGCGTTTGATTCCCAGGCTGATTAAGGGCATTTTCACACCTGGCTTGTTTGGAGCGTTTGTTTCAGAAACTAGTGTGATTTCTCCCTTAGTATGGTTATTTTAAGCATATATATGAACACTCCAATCGCGCTTGGATTTAAAAAAAAAAAAAAAAAAAAAAAAGGGGGTACGAAATAACCTGGACAAGGTGGCCTCTGCCTACTTGTGGCGGGAAAGCAACCCGACCCAACGGACCAATGAATCAGGCTGTATCACAATGTATAATGGTCAGTGCATGAAAAGCGGCAGTGTTTGCTTTCTCAAAATGAATCGTGGGTTAACCTGGACCAAAGATGATGTGATATGCCTACCTAAAATTTGGTCCGACAAACAGATTTCAGAACCGTCCAAAACACTAAAATACAGTCGAAGTAAATCAACGACAATTAGAAAAAAAGCCACAATAAGCCCATGGAACTGTTGTCATCCTGACATATGACCTCGATCCCGGAACATGAACGGGTGCACTCTGACCAATGTGAGGACAGTTGACTCGCACATGAAATTTTGGTCCTTTAAGAAATTGTTTTGTGAAAGCAAAATGTACCTTAAGCAGCCGGTGGTGTTGGTGAGCGCAGTCTCCCACTCCAGGTGTCTGGGTTTGCAGCTCTCCTCTCCACCTTCGTGCCCCCTCTCCCAGCCCGAGTGGGGAACCATCACCTCATCGGACAAGGCGTGCAGCGCGTGGTCCACGATCTCCATCTTTACAGAGTCATGAGACGACAGGTTCCACAGCGTGCCTGTCAGAGGACGAGCCATCAGTTACTACCACATGTAAACGACAATCCATCTCGTCTGACCACTTCGAATCACAAAGTTTAAAGTTGGCATCAAAATGGAAATTTCAAAAGGACATGACTTTTTATATGTTTTTGAAAGAAGTCTCTTTATGTGCATTCATATTCTTAAATATATTATTCAAATTTAAAAACTGTTTTGGTAAAGCAGAATTTTCAGCAGCAATTAGTTTAATGATCCTTCAGAAATCCTTCTAATATGGATTATAACCTCATACTTTTTTCAGGATTCTTTGATGAATAGAAAGCTCAAAAGATCCACACATTTGAAATATAAATCTTCTGTAACATTATAAAACCTTGATTTCCAGCGTACCTGTAATAGTGTCGGTAAGGTCCTGATCTCTCGTCTTCCTCAGTAGCCGCACCAGTGCGGGAATTCCATCACAGTTCTTGATGGCTATCTTGTTATCTGGATCTCGTCCGTATGAGATGTTCTTGAGAGCTCCGCATGCTGCGTAATGGACCTCCTTCTTTGGGTTATCCAGCATGGACACAAGGGCAGGGATCCCCTTCATTCGTCTCACATCTGACTTCACCTGCAAAAATAGGCAGAGAAGACTAAGCGCATGGATCTTGTGTGCTACACCATGAGTGACTTCCACCATCCGCGCCAAAAACCACCACAAGTTGATGAAATCACTGCTTTGCAGTGTGTGTACTAACCTTATCATTCTTAAAAGTGAGATGTTGCAAGTAAGCTGCAGCATTGCTTTTGACAGGGTCCAGGCGGTAGTTGAGCATAGCGATGACTTCAGGAAGTTCAGGTTGCCTCCATGCTGTGGGGGCGGGGCCTTTACGAAGAGTGCTGTCCAATGATGCCATGCTGCCCCTCTCTCCCTGAGCCAGTGGAGCTCCTCCTCCCCAATAATACATATCACCAGCTCCACTCATATCACCATCCAGTGTGCCCTCATATGACCTACGCAAAAAAAGCAGCAGCACATTAAGTGATTAGTTTCCCCCACCTTCCCCCAACTATTTGCTTCACGTTTAACAGAACACACTAACCCTGTCCGGCGTGGAGGTGGCGCATGGAGTGGATGTGCCAGCCGGGGCATTGTGCTGTAATGCATGGCTGGCCCCATGCCGTAATCGGGTTCATCATATCCCAGGCTCCTCTGATCATCCTCTAGGCCGTAGGGGTCTGGGACAAAGCGCTGCATGCCAGAGATCTCTAAAGCACTGCCCATACGTCCTACCTGGGGCTGGGCCGCATACGGGTCCAACTGCGGCCGGCTGTGTGTGCGGTAGGCGGAGTCCAGCGTCCGGTAGCCATCCACAGGTCTAAAGCAAAAGAAAGACTGAGCTCATTTGTACATCTTCACTACTGGTCAAAAGTGAAAAATAATTACTTTTTTTTGTGTGTGCTTGAACGAGGTCACTTATGCTCAGCAAGGCTGCATTGATTTGATCAAAAATACAGTAAAACTTTAATATTGTGCTCCAAGTGTTACTATTCTGAAATCTTTTAAATAGTAATTTATTTCTGTCAAGGCAAAGCTTAAAGGGATACTCCACTTTTTTTGGAAATAGGCTCATTTTACAACTCCCTCAGAGTTAAACAGTCGAGTTTTACCGTTTTCGAATCCATTCAGCCGATTTTATGATTTTTAGAACAATATCAGTAACCAGACAGTATCTGGTCTCATTGACTTCCATAGTAGGGATAAAATAAATACTACGGAAGTCAATGAGACCAGAAACCGTCTGATATTTAGAAGAATATCAGTAACCAGACAGTTTCTGGTCTCATTGACTTCCATAGTATATTTTTTTCCTAGTATGGAAGTCAATGAGACCAGAAACTGTCTGGTTACTGACATTCTTCAAAATATCAGAAAATCGGCTGAATGGATTCTAAAATGGTAAAACCCAACTGTTTAACACTGGGGGAGTTGTATAATGAGCCTATTTCCAAAAAAACTGAGTATCCATTTAACTTTTTCCAGTCTTCAGCGTCACATGATCCTTCAGAAATCACTCTAATATGCTGATTTGAAAGGCACGGACCTGTAGCGGTCATCCATCCGCGTCCCTCGGCTGAGGCTGGTGTAGGCTTCAGAAGGAGGGCCGCTCCGGTAATCATCATAGCCACCTGGAGGTCCATAGTGGTAGTTACGGGGGACAGTAGAGGTGGGGTAGTCCATGGGGCCAGCCGGTGGCCTGTACACACGGTCCATTGGGGTATTATAACCGGGTATCCCAGTGACTGAACCAGTGCCATCCAGGGAAAGTGTGTCGGAAACTGAGGGAATGACTGTTCGTGTGGTGGTTGTCTTTGTGACCTTCTTTACCTGATAAGGGAAAGTAAAAAACAAAACATGAGGCCATGCTAGACAAAATGTCACCAGTTAATTCATTTATATTGTATGGCTACAGCAAACCTACCGTGGTCTCAGTGCGACGTGTGGATCCATCCTCATTAGTTTCAACTGAAATAATAGGCATCGCTTCATGGGGGTCCTCGACTGTGATCGACTCAACAATATGACCAGGGTCCAACATCCTGTACTGTAGAACAGGCGCACAAACAAAGAACAATAGTGAGCACAAGCAAAGAATAGGAAGTGTCACACAAACACCATCTGGCGCAATCACTGGTGTAAATCAGTGATGACATTAGCAAGGTAGTACAGAAGCAAAATAAGTGAGTGTAAAAATATGCACAAGAGCATCTGTCAAGTATACGGACATCCAGGATTCCACAATAAGGATGACCTGGGACCAGTGCTGTTTTGACATTACATCCTGTTCATTTTACATCTGCATTTATTAGGAATGCTGCTCTCGTTCACTCGTACTCAGCTTATCACTCGTTCGGTCAACAGAACAAACAGAGATATGTAGATATGTGCGTGTTGAGCGCACATCCCTTTTTCAAAAGCATTGCAATTTGTAGTTTGGTTGGATGTCTCAAAATAGAAAGTAAAACAATGCAACTATTACTAACATTACTTGAAGGTAAGGAGGGAGATACAGTTTTTATGCTAAATAACGATATACTCATGTCACTATTCTAAACAAAACTTTATCAAGTGTTCAATGTGTTTATTTTCCTGACACATACATTTTGGCAAAAAATACCTATTTTATAAATATAAGGGTAAGAAAAAAAACAACACTAATTATATTTTAAATTAATAAGATATTAATCATAATAAATAACTAATTTCATTAAGATTTTTCAAATATGTCATTTATAATAAATAATTTAATTCTGATTTTGCAGAACTGAAATATACACAAAAATTGTTCATTGTGGAAACCCCCTACTAACCTGAGTCCCGTTTATGTATCCCTCGTTTAATTTGAGACGTTCTAACTCTGCATCACCAGTGACACGGCCGTTCTAGAGAAAGAGGAAAGAAAAATTATGACAGACAAAAAAAAGGTGAGGAAGGCGTGAAAGTGGCCAATGATCATGGCGGTGAACAATGATAAACATTCAGAATGATCAGATTATGGCAGGACCTCGAGTAATTACAACAGCAAAAAAACAAAAAACAAAACTTGACCTTATGTCCATGCAAAGGATAAACACTGAAGGCACTAAAACTAACGAAACCATTGCACAAGAGAAACATGACAGTGTTGCGGAAATGAATAATGAATACATGGATGAACGAATGCCAGGAATGAGATGGGGGTTGACAGCTACCGGATAATATTACTCATGCTTTTACACAACAATGGCATGCAACACCAATCACATTCACACTTAAAGCACAACGTCTCTACACACATAAACCAGAGGGGTAGTGGGCTGCTGTACTATTGCCGCTCCACAGAGGGAGCCGTGAAAGTAGATGGTAATCCTAGCTGACAGTCAGGCAAGTAGGAACCTGTTAGCAGGTAGGGGCTGAGCCTTCTCAGCATGTTAATATCTATACAACTATGTCAACAGAGAGGAGATGTACAGAAGATGGTGGCATTTCAAACACTGCTGAGAGAAAGAGAAAATGAAAGAATGAGAAAATGAATGAGAGAGCGATTCTACCGAAAATAAATACGGCGTTATTTACACAGCTGCATTAAACCTTGTAAAGCACTTGGTAGCTTTTTGTGATGAAAAGACCAAAACTTCAATCCTTCTGTCATAATTTGCATTTGTGTGGAGCATGTGGAATTTAAATGTGGATCATCAAGATGTGTTGCGCCAAGAGTGACGGCAATGTCAAATGGAACCGATTCTTATGCTCCGTTTTTAAAATGTACACGAATGCAAGCGACATCTGAGAGCAAATGGCAGAACGAAAGCTTTTCAATTAACTTAAATTTAGTGTAGAAACTCTAGGAATGTACCAGCCAGATATTCTGGACAGCAGCTTTATATGAGTTTCACCCATTTACTATTTAATTAATAAAGCACAGCCTTGACATTTCGCAAAGTATTGTCATGTTCCCTGTAAGACCGTTATAAATTTGGAACTATTTCCGTAACTGCTAGCTAAAACTAGTAAAACTTGAGTTTCTGTAAATGATATAGTAGCAATAAAACATTATATATTAGATAATGTTGGCAACTAACATTAACATTACGCCAAAAATTACAATTAAAGCTAAAATTAAATGAATAGCATATAAATAAAACTAAAATGGCGACTATAAAATTAAATACATTTTTTCAGGTTAAGTATTCCTTTCAAATTCGTGAGATGTTGTCTTAATCTGATGTATCTGAGAGCCAAGAGAAATAAAAGTTGTGAATGCAACCGAGTTGTGAGTTTCAACTCACTTGCGCACAGTAGACACCCTTAAGAGGGGGCGTGTCTAAGATCATGCAACCAATTCAAAAAGTCCTCTACTGAGAAAAGCCGAGATTAACACGATACTTGTTCACGTTGAGCAACTTCCACCAAAAGATGGAGCTTTCTGAAATCATCTACACACAAGGGAGACTCATCTTACTAAACCGGTTTGTTATCTCTCCGTTCACAGACATCAGCGGAAGGGGGTTTGTGTGTTGAGAAAGTTTCTGTGATAAGGGAGACATTCACCATGAGGACAGAGAGCAAACGGGAGAGAAATTCCTCTTCGTTGAAGAACATTCATTCCGCTAAGTCAAACAGACAGGTTAATGACACATGTACGATGTACAGACATGCGTTTTGTAAGAACCAACAGGGTTGACATTCAATGATGTGGTGAGAGACAAATTGGGGACATGATGAAACAACATGCAAGGAAAGTAGGGCTTCAGAGTGCCACACACGCCATTGCCACACAGGGCAAAGGATGGGCGGCGAATGACGACAAGAGGAAAGGATGCAAATGGTGGGTTCTGATGACGCTGAACGCAACAGTGAAGGATGGGTTATTCGCCATGCTCCTTGAGGTGCCAACTAGGACGCATTGGTGCAGAGAGATGCGGCATGGGTGAGATATTGCAGGGTGATGATGCGGAGAACCCTGCTGCTGCATGATTGGCTGGGAGGGCGTTACCTGCAGAGTGGGGAGGGGGCGGGGTAGGGTACCGGAGGGCCCCACACTCCTCCTCTCCTCCTCCAGAGCTCGAGTCAGTCGCTCAAACTGCATCTCCTGCTCTCGCACGGAGGCCAGGAGAGATGCTGCATTCTCACACTGCTCCATACACACTGAGAGAAAGAGGACAGTGGTTACACACTCTCATGAGATCAAGCACCTTTCGCACTCCATAAGTGCCCTAAAAAAAGAAAGGAAAAGAAACATGCACTCCACGCACAAACACATAGCTTAAAGTGGTGTGCATCACGTGACCCATGCTGCTAGCTAAATCAAGAAACAGGGGGAGAAAAAAAACAGAAATGTGAGATAGAGAGAACATGACAGACAGAAAGTAAAAACTGTGAGAAGAGAGCACGAGCAAGACAGGTGCTAACAAAGCGCTTCAGACGCAGGCGTGATCACGCTGCCACCTCTGAGTGACAACACAGAGGAAACCAGACCGGTTTCAAGCTCGCATATAGGAGAGTGATTCAGATGCTGTGCGAGAAGAGATTATGTAGAGGCAAACAGACGAGTGGAGACACAACAAGGAATGAGCCAAGGTCCATTCAAATCAAAAGTGGCTCCACGGAAACAAACTGCGGATAAATAAAAGCAGTCCATGTGCTTTCTACTGTGCTGTCCTTTCTGGAGGACATTTCACTGTCTGACAACTGAGAACACTAAACCAACAACTAACTAACACAGCAACAGTGCCATGGTACAGTCAGTGATGGGAATGGACCATAGTACTTCAAGTACACAAGTCAATTAAAACAAAATTAAAATAGTCCAAATAAATAAATAGTAATATTATGGTACTTTTAGATATACCATGATTTATATAAACATCATTAATAAAGAACACCACTGTATTGCCATGATTCACATTATAATAATAAAATAAAAATAATGTGATAAAGCAATTTGTTATTCATTATTAATAATGGCAAAACAAAACATGGCGCAGTTGTGGTCCTTTGTAGTGGTCGACAGACATTGGCTGTGTCCGAAATCTCCCACTACTCACTATATAGTGGACTATATAGTGAGCTCGCCATTTTGTAGTGCTGTCAGAATGCATAGTGACGATTATTATACCCTATATAGTCCACTCAGTGTATCCCAGAAAGCATTTTGAAAAGTAGTGTATAACCGATGGTCACTACCCCAAGCCCTACATACCATCATGCATTGCGCTGATCGTAAAAAAGACGGACGGGCGACAGCAATGACATAATCAACGGCGCTGAAAAACGATTGAGTAGTGTCCGAAAGTTGTGTTTCTATTATTCTGACGAGTTCACTATATACCCCCTACAGGGAGTAGTGGTTTGAGTGGAGATTTCGGACACAGCCATTGACTTTTTGATGGCTGATGCCATTATCTTAGAGACACACAAACCCGCCTCCCCTCCCTCACTCGTTTCATTTGATTCGAATGAATATTGTTGGTTACAAGAGGGACGTGAATTTTGCCGTGGGATTCCCCATCATTTTAGTCATCCCTGCAGATTTGTGCACACACTCCAAGTGCATGCAGCCGCGGCGCGCACAAAGCCGCCATGGTATTAAATGGCGTTCTAGTTCGCTACTTATCGCGCTTGGTCAAATACACACAAAATAATGTCAGAATGCTTGGCGAGTATTCACTTAAAGGCATTCAGTTATGTTGTAAGTGAACAAACAGTTGAGACAGAAAACACGTGTAACTGTACACCGGATCCATGCTTAATCGGGTCTTAAAGTGACAGGAGCCTAATATACTTGCTGCCAAATTATGAGAACCATCTAAATGGCAGTTTTTACCCATGGTATAGATATCAAAATTGTGGTTAGTGAAAATGCTAAGTGGCTAGTAACTTTGGAAAACACACTCATACACCTATACAGCAACTTCTTGGTTCTGTATCTGGCAAGTTTGTGCATTCTGGGAATCATATTTTTTCAAATAAAGAAAGAATTTTACATAGAGCACAGAGTGAAAAAGAAAAGAATATGACAGTGGGCAACACAGCGCATTGCGCAGCATAGCTGGAAATCAAGGATTTAAAGTTTGTTGATCGTACATCTCCAGTGACTGCACATTCAGTTTGCATGGACGAACACAGAATACACAGTAGATGCTGGCTACAAATGCATACTTCAGAAAGATCTCACAGCTGGATTTAAGCAAGTCTGCCATGTTTGTGAATATGTTTTTTAGATATTGAAAATTTGTTTATATTATAAATGTGATTTTGCTGAATGACAGCAAATTTATTATAGCATCCGCTTTTATATAGTTATGGCAAACACATACTTTCATTTGCAGTTAACTTTGTTTAACAGTTCTATGGTAGACAGAACTGTTAAACAGAGACTGTTAAACAAATAAACAGAATGAGAGCACTGGGTGCTCAGACATTCTCAGCACTCCCACAATAAAAGTGTGTGATCCGTCAAAACAACAATCGGCCAATGCGGATATTTAAAAAAAGAAATAAAAGTAGTCCTTTGTAAGTATTATCTTCAATGCATCTCACTTCACCCTTGACTTGTTTTAGTTTTAAGGAATGAATGGTCTTATTTTAAAGGAAGCTTTGCAAAACAGCTGGAGAAGGACCAAGGACATTTTATTATTTTTTGTTAAACATAGAAGCTCTCTCGTAAGATCCTCTCAGTGGAACTTGTGATTTCAGCACAGCCTAGCGTATAAATAACTACTTATGTAACTTCACGCTGCATTTGCTCATTAGCACCAGTTATATCTGGGTGGAGTGCAATTGCTGCGTGTGAACAGATGATGAAAAAAAAAATAAAAAAAACGTGAGCTCTGGAGAGCTGATCTGAGCACTGATTTCAGGACAGCGTCATACAGGGGTAGAGGAGTCAATCTGAGCTACAGGTTGAAAGATTTCAAAGGTTCCTTGGAAGAAGAACTAAATAAAAAGAAGGCATGCCGGCTTTGAGCAATGTTAGCTTACAATAATGACAATAAAGGGAAGAAAGTGAGAAATTGTAGGGAAACTTAACTGACTATTTCCCACCATTTACAACTGAACTAACCATTTTCTCAAGTTTATTACGGTCAAGCCAAAGTGAAAGAGAAACGAGCCCATAGCCGTCCATGAATCATTAGCATGCCTCAATTCAAAAGATAATCAAAACATTAAAAAACATGCTAAAACATGAGTTTGAATAAATAAACAGGCAAGCTTGATAACTAAATTCCCCCAAAACTCATCTGCATTTTCCCACCGCTTAATCAACGTATGACAACACGGTAATACCGGTATCACAGGCGGGGACAATTTTACCTTATTTAGTAAATATTAGGTGAATGTGTACTAGGGATGTATTCACGATTATAGTAACCAAAGTAATCACAATTATCAATATCGTCACGGTTTTGTTAAAATGAGATGAAATTGCTCAGGAAAAAAAAAAAAAAAAAAAAAAAAAGTTTCATATTTGGAAATCAACAAACAACAAATAAAATTAACAGCTCTATGAATTGTTTCCCCAAGCATACACATTAAATATGACTTATGGAGGCAACAACATTTGATAAGACAGAACAAGAAAGACCATTAATAATCTTTCATTGGGCAAAAGTATCAACATAGAGCGCCTTATGCGCATCCCGTGTTCAGAATGATGTGCTTGACGCAAAATGGAATCATTGCACGCAGTGCTTCGCAGAGAAAACAATGGGAAGAGTATGGATATTGATGCTTAGTGTATCATATCTATGCATCAGTTTCCCAAATCCCACTGCTTTGCTTTCCGCCATGTCTTGAAAAAAAAAAAACAACGTTGCAGGTCTTGTGGCTGCGTCAGAGTGATGCCGCCTGGACCGTATTTACAGCGAGTTTTAAAAATCGCGATAATCGAACACGTTTTTGTAATAGATTTTAAATGATAATACCAATTGCAATACTGAACTTGAAATTCTGGATTCACTCATGTTGTTTTCACAAGTCATGCAAGCATTTGACGTCTGTGTTTCATCTGTTCATCATATAAAGCTATTGGGTCTCTTAATTTAGGATTAGACCACTCAATTGATTATTTTTACGATGCCTTTATAGATTTGGGGTTATCTTTTCAATTTAAGAATAAAATGGACTTTAAATGGAGGGACAGAAATCTCTCTCATTTGTGTTTGGAAGTTGAGTGAAACTTTTACAGGTTTGAAACAACATGAGGGTGAGTATTTGACATAATTTATATCTTAAATTCAGTATTCAGAGTCTTGGATAAAACAAACTATCGTGAATCATACGGTTTACAACAACAACAGTCACATTTTTATACTGCGATTTTCGATGCATCGTTGCACCCCTAATTCTTGCAGGATGTCACTGCAGAAATTATATATGTGTAGAGAAATAATGTGAACTGTAAAAAAAAAAAAAAAAAACAATTTATACTTTAGTAAGGAATAGGATTCACTTAACCTAAATATTTTTAGCAAAGTAGTACTAGGGATGTAATAATACCTTTGTCATCATAACATGCGATTCCAATACTCAAATTCTGAATATCAGCCGATACAGAAACGATACCAGTGCTTTTTTTTCTTTCTTGAGTCTTATAGAAATTCTATACCTATCAGTGTGTTTGAAATGTGATGCTCAATTTCTGATAAACAATCCAATAAATACCAAGAAGAGCTCCATGGTATCTATTAACACGTATAGTGACAGCCAAACTCTCCAAGTCACACAGCTTGCAACCTTTGCATTTTCACATGCCTCTTAACAAGGAACAGTGAACTAAGCCCGATTACGTAATATCACAAATGAGGGACACTAGTTTTGAGTGATGGAAAGATTATCAGTGAATAAAGGACTTCTATTTCAGCAGCAAATGTATGGCTTTGGAACAACATGAGGTTGAGTAAATATTGACATGGTTTAACGTCTTGATAAAACTGACTTATGAAGAAAAAACCATATAGACCAATTTACGGTACTCAAGTCGTTTTTCCTTGATGCATTTTTGTATAGAAAAGAACAGCATGAACATTCTTCAGAACATCTTCAGTCGTTTTCCACACAACAACGTCACACTGGCGAGTGAATGACATTTTTTTTTTTTTAGAATGACAATAAAGATCACAAGTCTCTTAACACCTAGACAAAGC